ACGGAGATATGTTAAGTCTCCACATAGGCACTGTCCTAGGATGATGCAAATTTGGTTCGTAATATTTCCAAGTTTTATTAAAGATACATTATGGGAGAGTTGATAAAGAGCTGGTAGTTCTCACTATAATAGTTAAAGATAGGTTGCCAGACAACGAAACATACGCCCACAGCAGCTAAATCGTCCGGGCAGTCAACAAGAGTTGTCGCATATTTTTAATTTTCGGTAATGAAATATTTATAATACACTAAAATCTGATTATAAATTTAAAGTCAATCGGATATTAACTTTGGCCTCTAGAGCGTCCACAAGATTTTTCAAAGTGATCAAGGGCCATAACTCTGGCAGTAATTATCGCAAATCGCTGAAAATCAAAAGGCTTCTTCGTCTCATGACCGTAAACACTGTGTAAAAAAATTAAAGTCAATCGGATATTAACTTTGACCTCTAGAGTGTCCACAAGATTTTTCAAAGTGATCAAGGGCCATAACTCTGGCAGTAATTATCGGAAATCGCTGAAAATCAATAGGCTTATTCGTCTCATGACCTTAAACACTGTTTATAAATTTAAAGTCAATCGGATATTAACTTTGGCCTCTATAGCGTCCACAAGATTTTTCAAAGTGATCAAGGGCCATAACTCTGGCAGTAAAAATCAACAGGCGTCTTCGTCTCATGACCTTAAACACTGTGTATGAATTTAAACTCAATCGGATATTAACTTTAGCCTCTAGAGCGTCCACAAGATTTTTCAAAGTGATCCAGGGCCATAACTCTAGCAGTAATTATCGGAAATCGCTGAAAATCAATAGGATTCTTCGTCTCATGACCTTAAACACTGTGTATAAATTTAAGATCAATCGGATATTAACTTTGGCCTCTAGAGCGTCCACAAGATTTTTTTGAAGTGATCAAGGGCCATAACTCTGGTAGTAATAATCAGAAATCGCTGAAAATCAATAGGCTTCTTCGTCTCAAGACCTTAAACACTGTGTATAAATTTAAAGTCAATCGGATATTAACTTTAGCCTCTAGAGCGTCCACAAGCAATTGTGGACGCCGGACCGACGGGGGCGACGACAATATACGACCACATTTAAATGTGGGCGTATAAAAACTAGATAATGCAATGGGGATTTGCTGAAAATTTCAGTCAAATTGATCCACCCTGAACCGAGTATTTAGCGATTAAATTTTGAGCTTAGCTTCGATCATCATTACTAAAGTCTCAATTATCCAGTTTTTGATTTAAAGGAGCTAAGTCTCTAACTCATTATCATCCAAAATCTTCAACATTGAAAACATGATTTATTTGTCAAATTAAATCAACATTTATGTTGTGATCTTACCGGAAAAAGATGGGCTTTTGATATCCAATATTTAAGACAAAATAAACATTTTACCATTGGTAATGCGCTTCAGCCCCAGTTGTATCAAGAGACTCGAGGGACGAGGCTAGACACATTGCACCAAATCAAACGGCATATGTAGACTGGAATAACCAGACGCTAGAAATTTGCACTCGCTTGAGACTGCTGGCTTATTTCGCCGAACATAACTGATTTGAAATTGGAGTAAAAACGGAAACCATTGAATGTAAATCAGTTTATATACATTCATATTACAGTATTATATGCGTTGCGATCCACTTTTGTCAATTTCTAGGTCCCAAATGTTAGCGATTTAGCTCCTTTAATCAGAAGCATCAGTCCGGGTTCTAATCCAGTAAATATCGCAGGCTAGCGATGCCATCGAGGGTTGATTATGGTCTGGATAAGTTAATTAATGTCTAATTAATAATTTAGATAACATTTCAGGCCTATATAAAGAAATACCTGCATTAGGCAGATTTAGCTCTTGCATAATGTATGTTTAAAGAATAAATTTGAGGCTCTCGGGTGAGAGCCACATTAAGTGTGTTTCCTACTGATCGGATTTTCTAAAAATGAGTTTTTCCAGTATCCCGGCGTTAGGGCTTGGGATTCTTATAACTAGTTAATTTTATTTACTAAGGGTTAGGACTGGGGTTTGGGTTAGGGCGAGGACTGGTATTATTTAGTGTAATTTACTGTGCACTAGGATGTTCAGATTTTTATTTTTAGAATATTTGTGAAGATTTTCAGGTCATTTTTTGGGAGATCAGTAGGCCCCCCTATAGTGTTTTCTGATTATTTTGGATGCACTTGCTGCTGTTGCGCTAAATGGAACTACAAAATATTCAAACCTACGGGGGCTGTTTTCAATTTGTCAATCCATAATTTTTCTCTTGTTAGCCTAAACGTTTTAATTTCTTCTGTATATATAGTTTCAAAGTCTTTTCTATTGGTGTGACAATGAGATCGGAAATGTCATGATTTGGTTGGTTGAAGTGAATTGAGACCGGTTTGTCTAAGGCCTTCCTTTGAGCAAGTTTAGTAGTCATTTGACTACAAAAATGTTACTGACCGATAACTCCCTTAATTTCCAATTACACTGACCCCAAACTGTACTGTATATAGCTTAACATATAATAACCCAACTGCTTTGCAAAATTTCTGTTCATTTTAAAATGACCGCCGAACCAGAATCACGTGATTTCATTCCACTCGAAAATACAGAAAAACTGTTCGGTAAGATATTCAGTGTTCCACTCTTCCTTCACTATCTGTAACATAATTACTTATTTCCATGCAAACTGTAATCATATGTGTTGAAAATTTGCAACGGAACCTAATTTTACTCGCACAAAAGACAGCACGCGGATACAATTTTGTAGCTAATTATTGTCTACATGAAATTAGATAAATTATGTTTGAACTACTGCATGGAAGTTGGTCTAATATAGGGAATTGTGTGTCAGATATTTTGTTATGGAAATGGTCGGATATGTGTATGATTTTGCATATTTGACATCTTGGGTGGCCTCTTTGGGTTTAAATTGCTGATTGCATATTTTTTGTTTCTTTGCCGGCAATTTCAGCTAGAGTGTTGTCTTTTATACGTCGGAGTTAGTTTGCTAAATACTAGCGTAATGCTGACTCTAAGTCGGTCTTCTGAGTGCATTTCCTATGAAAACGGAGAATCTTCTGAGATTTTATGATGACAGAGAACGTATGTTTTGGGTGAAAGAAGATTTTGAACAATAATTGATCTGTGTCGGTTTCTTTGAAAAATACTTTAGTTTCCAATTGGCCTGTGTTTTCGGTTTTGCTACTTTTAAAAACGGTATGTGTCAAGGAAATCTATGCTGTGACTTAATTTGCAGTTAATTTGACAGATGCATGATGCATGTTCAGAGTGTTGAAATAAGTCCAAAATTCGTCTAGTGTGTACGTCCAGACTATGAAAATGTCATCTAAAAACGTCTATAGAAATCTGGTTTTAATGGGCAGAACGCCATTTGTAACAAGGGGCTCGAAGAACGAGGGTAGACATATTCCACAAGGGTTAGATCTAGTATTTGATAAGGCCAACTTCAAGTTTGGTGAAAGATCACGAGATGTAAACAGGGCTAGCGCTAATCCCAAGTCCCAGCCCTAACCCTGAACCTAACCACGATGCTTAGGCCTACCTAACCCTAACCTACAATCTCGCCATTAATCACGAACGTGCCCTAACCTTATTTAGATCTCAGCGACCTTGACGAAAATTGAGCTGGCCTTAACAAATAGATTTAGGCCGTGGAATACGCTAGCCATCGTTCTTCGAGTCCCTGACCCTTGGCGATGAAACTATTGAAACGCAAATGGTACACGAATCGATTCGTGTACAGGGGCGGATCCAGAAATTTTTGCAGGAGGGGGTTTGCCAGGTTCCTGAGACAATGTATCCCCCCCCCCCCCGCATGGTCTCTATGGTCATTTTGGCGTATATAAATACACATTGAGCTTTTTAAACAGAGAAATTCAACACCTCGTTTGATGTCAATTTTTATTATGAATTAATAGGCTACAACGACTTTGTCATTCAATTTCATGGATGCAAAGCATTAATTGTGATATCACATAATGTCTATATCATTATCTCCGTGCTTTGAGTGCCCATCCTGTCCCACATCTGACGATAAAGGATAAAGCACACGGCCGAGAAACTTTTCTCATAAAAAGTACTAATTTACAAAAAAAATTATGTAGCTGAGCAGGCCAGCGACCCCCCCCCCCCCCTTCTGGATCCGCCCCTGGTCTGTACCAATGGTAAAAGGCTTATTTTGTCTTGCGCCTGTTGGATATCAGAAGCTTATCTTTTCACGGTAAGGTCACATTATGATCAATCAATGTAATTTGTAATGTTGATTTTACTTGACAAATAATTCGTGTTTTCAATGTCGAAAACTTACTGAGTTATACTAGTCACTACTACTGTAGTTATCAGTTACTACTTAATTTACTATTTATTAGTATTAGCTAGGTATGGCCTGCTGGGAATATAAATTCTACCTCCCTGCACTGTGTTATTGTCTGGATGTTGTCCTTCTCTTATACGTTTATTGTGTGGGGGATCACGTGGCTAAGTGGGTAAGACGCTAGCTCGCTAGCCTGGAGGTCGGGTGTTCGATCCCTGCATTGGCCGAGAAAGTTCATCCAGTTTTTCCGGCGTGGTTCTCCCTTGTCAATGATGCAGGACGGAGGGGCTGTCTAGTTGTTCGGATGGGACATTGGCGTGCACGTAAAAGATCCCTTGGCAGTTGGAATTCGATATAAGAGTAGGCCGTAGTACCGCTGTCCGGGCAAAATTTCGCTCATAGCACACTGTATGGCGTATGCCCGTCTTCATTAGCCCGGGTTAGGAGTAGGACGTTAAACTCCATTTCATTTCATTTCATTTATTGCCTACTTATCTTTTGGAAACCATAGAAATATATACTTCAGTATATATTTCTATGTGGAAACTAACAGAGAAAATATCAAGTTGAAAATAGCGCCATCGAGCGCAATATCTATTTTTAGAATTGACATCCAGGTCATTATCCCGCCCCAGCCAATCAAAATCGAGTTGTAGTTTTCAGTCGTTGTGATGAACGGATTTCATGTCGGACAACGGTACACACTTGTGAAAGAAAATGACAAGCCACAAAATAGGTGTTAACCTGAGGGTTTCAGGAAATTGTAACCAAGGTGGCAGAAAGTATATGGAAGATACCCATTCGTTTAGATTTTATAAAACTGATGGAAAAGACTACGACTTTGCTTACTTTGGTATCTTCGATGGTCATGGCGGATCCGAAGCATCGCGTTTTGCGAGGGATAACTTGTTGGACGAAATTATAAAGTACGACTGTTTTTGGAACGACAACGATGAAGACGTGCAATGGGCTATAAAGTCTGGTTTTTTGGACACACACAATGCTATGTGGAAACAATTAGGTAAGGTATTTTTCTCGAGCTGTTGTTATGGTAGGCCCACGTAGTTGTACAACCTTTATACAACTCAGCTGACTGAAAATCATTTCTCCGTCAACAACAGAGTGATTTGACCTATCATCAGACGTACAATTTGGTGAAGATGGGGAGTTCCTGAATAAAATTGAATAGTGTCATAGGTTTTAGGGTTATTCATCGTATGGTTTGAAACATCTACAAAACCTCACACACTGTTTATTTTTTGGTATTTGAAAATACAAATCGCGCGCATTTTCTCATCCGGCCATGTTTTCATATTTTGATTTGATAAGAAACCACCCAACGTACGATGGAGACTGGTTTCCTTGACTGTTTATAGTAATTATAGACAGAACGAGCCATTTACAGTTTTAGTTTATATGCAATTGTTCTTCAAGGAATATTGGTAAATATTTTGGAAACCATGGTGTATCCCCAAACAATGTCAAATAGATCATGACATTTCATAAAGATTATTTTGAGGTTGTCGAGTAAACGTGTGCAGTCGGGTAGTATCGCGTCATCACGGATGATCGATTCCGCGAAGTATTGTAAGGCCAAGGTTACTATACTGGGTTTCCCCTACTACAACACCAATTATCTCCAATACATAGATATTATAATACCGTATATGGGGTATTTTCACAAAAACGTACAAATAATCCTGACAAAAATGGTTTACCCAATATTTGATATAAAATTTTTGCTACCAGTACCATCCCCCAAAAAATTATATATTATATTGTACACATCAGCATGAAAGTACCTTTTTTGGGAAAATATATAACTTATAATTATTATAAGGTTATTATTCAATCAGTATCATTTTATCATACATGTATGTTGTCAAAATACTCAAAATGTCCATTCCGTTATGTGGTAAAACTTCACATTCTCTGCTGTTCAATTAGCCATCCAATAGTGCTGAATAAAATGTCCTATTACTATTAGCTATTTAATGAAGAAATAGAAATCAGCTATATCAAATATTGTTTCTGTCAAAATTTTGAGAACAATTTGTCTTTTTCGTTAATGCTTTTTTAGTGGAGTTAACCATATGCCCCGTTATCAAGTTTGTCACAAGGCATTACTAAATTTAAATCAAAGACAATGTTATTGTCAAGCAGGAATATATAGAAAGAAACAATTTATAGAAAGGAAAATCCAAACAATTAAGTTGATTGCACATTGTTGTCGCACAAATTGTATGTCTCTTCTGTTGGTCTGTTCCAAGACACAAAACACTGACTGAAGTGATTGAGAGGTTTTCACTGAAACAACCAGGGAATAAGGTTGTCAAAGCACTCTGTTAATATCATGCATGTTTATGCAATGTGAATGAGTGCAGGCAGTCAAAGTATGTCTTTTCTGACCTGTTATAAATAATGATAATGGAAAAGATTTCTTGTAATTTGTATCGAGATAGAAAAAACAAAGGGTATTTTGTTAAAATTATAATACGTTATCACTTTTTTATGCTTTCTATTCTCTAATGGTATTCAAGCATTTATTTAGACAACTGGAGCCAAATTAATTACTTTGAATTTTTTGTCTTTTCCATTATGTCTTTTCCATTATGTCTTTACTGTTAACATTCTTACAAATTTTGATTTTGTTAAAATTTTGTTATTTTTAACAGCCCTGTATATGGTTATTGCATATACTTCCTCTTGAGTTATAAACCTACATACATGTACGTAAAGATTACTACAGTGAAAATGTCCTTAAAAATTCTTAGTTACTTTTCAAAATTTGTCTTTAACATTATTTGTACATTTTTGTGAAAAATGCTAGTACAGGCCAAGCCTTGTAAATCTACGGCAAGCCACCTGGGAACGTATCTGAAAAGAAAAAAAAAGCACATATCATACATGTACCTTGAGCGTATGGTCAGAGAGAATATACACAAGATGGTAATAAAAAGATGAAATGAAATCCAAAGAAATCAACATTTTTAACCTTGTCATTTTAAAATAAACTTATTAAATATAACACAATGAATGAAAATAGAAAGATGTTGTCCACTAATTATTGGGGAATGTCCTGTCAGGCTGTGTGCTTGAGGTCAAGAATATTAAGGTTTAAATTTAAAAGTGCTTAATGTGTTGAATTGGATATACTGTATTGTTAAATTAGACTGACAAAGGGAGGGAAGTTACCAATTCAGTTCTTTTTCTTACACATGTTAGTTTTTTAATCAAAATCTTATAAAAAATCTTATAAATGTATTCTTGCAGATAAATGGCCAAGGAGGATGTCAGGTTATCCAAGTACAGCAGGAACAACATGCAGTGTTGCATTTGTAAGGAACTCTAAAATATATATTGGTCATGTAGGAGACTCGGCTATAGTTTTAGGATCAGATATTGGCAAAAAGAATGCAATTATTATGAAGGCAGATTGTTTAACAAAGGTGAGTAAATTGGCAAGAATGGGATTTTAGTTTTGTGACATCTTCCTGATTTGTTATGATCATACAATATCCAAGAGATTTCATAATTATTTTAAAGTTTCATAAAGGCACTAATATAAGTAACAATAAAAAAAAAGCAGTTGGGCTAAGCTAAGATTGAACCTTTGACTAAAGTAGATATCAGTTTCAAGTTTATTTCATAGGACATTATGCCATAAATGAAGACTTTTCATTTTGTAGGACCATAAACCAGAATGTCCTGTAGAAAAAAAGAGAATAGAAAATAGTGGTGGAGAAGTAGTAGCAAAGTCTGGTGTACAGAGAGTAGTGTGGAATAGACCAAAATGGAATCATAAAGGTCCTATACGACGTAGTACACCCATAGATAAAATTCCCTTTTTAGCTGTAGCTAGATCACTAGGTAATTATTTATTCTGAGACTTCCAACAAGATAAGAGGTCAAAAATTGGTTTACAATCCATGGTTTCGAAGTTGGTAACATATACTGCCATGACCATTTTGAGTTGAATTAATCGAAATGTCTCGGGGACCAATCAATACATTAACCATGCCGTAAAACTAACATATTTTACAAAACTCCCATTTTCAAAATGTGACAGACAATAAAATTTTGAAGGGAAAGCACTGTTACAATCTTTCATATTTAGATCAAGCTCAAAACATGAGCTGATTAAATTTTCAATAGCTTTTGTCGTAAAACAAAATATGATAAATGTTCTGTGGCAGTGGGTCATGGGCTAATGACTGCAGTAGCACTGCTGGCAGTGGGTCATGGCTACAGTAGCACTGCTAGCAGTTTGGCGGGGATTGTGTACCATAATGCTTGGTTTAATTAAAAGCATTTGGCATTTAATTTGGTTTCTTATATAATTTCTCATTGTGAAAATATGAATGTTTATTTTAGGTGATTTATGGAGTTATGATTATTCTACAGAAGAATTTGTAGTGTCACCTGAACCTGATGTTAGTGTTCATCGTATAGATCCTTCCATCAATAAATGTATTATACTAGGATCCGATGGTTTATGGAATATGTTGTCACCAGAAGAAGCTGTTTCTGTTGTAACAGATTTAGAGTATCACTTTGAAGATAGAGTAGTCTATGATCCCGTAAGATTTTTATCCACAATTATTTTGAACTAAAATTAAAAATAGTAAACTACATACAGCAATTTCTTCCACAGTGATTTTAAAGTTAAAATACAAAATTGTATGCTTTATTACTAAAGTAAAATCGAATATGAAGGTCCTGTATAATCATTAAAACTACATGTGACACATTGTATGTGTCAGACAGACTTTTATAATAGTATTTGTATTACATGTAGCTACATGTAATGTTCCTAACATATGATGTGTTAAAGTTGAAATGTTGTTGAATATTGTTGTCACCCCTTTTTGTCCATCTGTCCATACATGTACATTTGTATTGTAATCAGAGGTCGCAGTCACGCAAAAATCTGGTATTTCATGCATTTTTTTCAAAATAAACGCAGATATTGACAGACACTGCGTAATTTACACGCAGAAAATTTCCCCGACGTGAGAATAATTAGATTATTCTATGTCGTAGTTTGTACAATTTATGTGCTGCACCCGGCATTTATACACCTCTACTGCATGTAGTCTCCGTAGTTTTTTATATTTCCCCTTATTTCATTCTTAAGTTCATGGCAGTAAGCCTACGTAGATATCCTATTGAAAGCAATAAAGCGCATTTCATACAAGACTTGGGATTGGCTAATACACGATAAACTGTTTACATTCAGCCAATCGAAGTGAGAGATTGATATGACTGCCGTCAACCATAGACATGTCGTTAACCTCCAGTTGTCATTAGACTAAAAGAGGCTCTAAGTCAAGCAGATGTAGAGGGCAAAAACGCAAAATTTTGGAATGTCTGCGTATTTTTATGCAACTCAAAATTGATCCACTGCGACCTCTGATTGTAATTGCTTGGGAATGCACTAGAAGCCAAAGTTGGTCCAATAGACTTGAAATTTAACATTTTTAGGTTTTTTTGTTGATAAGCAAAGAATCCTATTGATTTTCAACAATTTCCAATACTTTGCTGAAAATATCATCAGATGTAAGCTTACCCATTTAAGTTCATGTGACGAAAAACAGCTAAAGTTATCATCTGATTACCGGTTCACATGTACATGTTTTGTTTTATTTTAGTACCTTGAAGAATCCAACAAAATTTCATGTACATGCATTTCTGATTTTAGTGTCTTATAATTACTCTTGTTTACCTACTAAAGGGTTTAAATTTGACAACCTTCATGGACAGCTTGAACATCTTGGCTGCTATTTGTGCATGTTTCGTTGCCTGACAAACTATCGTTTTGCTAGTTGCGCAACTGTCCTGCATACATCCGTATCATGTTTGATATTAGAAATTTGGATGCCATTTCACAAAGCATGGGTGAGACTAAAAGTACTTGTAAATCAAATATTTTAGTTTTACATGCAACTCTATTGAACATGGGTGTATGTAACTTTATAATAAGTGAAACGGACCCAATGGTAATAAAATATGCCTTTAGACGTGTATATTTTACATTTATAAATCTATTTTTTCCATTTTTAGACTGCCACAGTAAGTTACTGGATAAACCCTGCTGAACGTTTAGTGTCTCTTGCATTAAAGAAATGGAAAGCCAGGAATCTACGTGCCGATAATACAAGTTCTATAGTGGTATTCATTGATCCACTAGGTCCTAGTAGATTAACTATTCTCAGGAAAAAGAGGGAGGAACATTTTAGCAAAATTCAAGATCACAGAAGTGCTGACAAAGAAAAATTATCTACGTCAGTAAATAATGACAGCTTGATTAGTAAAGAAAGCCCTGCAACTCCCAACTGTGAGCCAAGACCTGTGATATTACCTAAAAGTGCCCCTCCAAAATTAGTGCCTCATAAAGGAGATAATTGTGTTTTATCTAAAAGCAACGACGAATCTCATTCTAATTTGGATGCAGTCGAGAAAGGAAATATAAAACGTGCTAGAAAACTTTCACTGTTCCCCCAAATTGTTAATTCTGAAATGAATGACAGTGTACAAGCAGGAAGTGCTGCTACTTTTGCAGCTTTGAAAGACCCCCTAACACCAGTTAAACACGACGAATCAAAAGAGTCCTCTAGTGAAAATTCTGAATTCTCTAGATTTGGTGCTTTGAACATTGGTATGCATTCTATGAGGTTACGGAAATCGGACAGTATATCTAGTGTTAAAGATTCTAAAACCAATAAATTAAGTAATCAGGTTAACCCAGGTGTTTTACGCAGCAGCAGTCAAAACAGTGTACATGTTAAAGGTGACAGGTTGCCTAAATCATGTCCTGTTCTGAAAAAGTCTGGTTATGAAAATGGACATAACATTCGATTAGTTACACGGTTACGTGTCAGAGATCAGAACAATTCTCATTCCATCTTATTAAGTGCTAAGAATCTACCAAGTAAAAAATTAGGCAATGGTACACCTGGCAGCAGTCGTAAAACATTGCTAAAGGCAAAACTTGTATCTAGAAAAGCAATAATTCAGAACAGTGCAATTCAAAGAACAAACAAAAGTATTGGTGGTATCAAGAGAAAAATTGAAGATAGTGAAGATTGTCCTGTTTCTAAACGACTGCGGGGAAGTCATCCATAATTTTTTAAATCATAACCTAGACATACATGTATTTGCCTTAATTGACATGCCTTCACTTCAGGAAAACAAATTATTAGGCCATACATATAAAAAATAAACTGGTTTGCATATACGGTCACAACTCATTTTTTATCATGGGTATATATTTTTTGTGTTAAAAAGAAAGGTACATGTAAGTCTATGAAACGTTTTCTATTGAGTTTTGAAGTGTCCAGTAGGTTTCAGTTATCAAGCACACAATCCTGATAAATGACTCTTGATGATCATAACTTGACTAATTGTTATCAGGGAACTGAATTTAAAGATCTAGATAATAATTATTCTGCAAACTGCATCTAACAGTAAAGCTTAGACATACATGTACATTGTATGTAATACTAAGTTGTAACACAAGAATTGGTAATTATGTTAGCAGTCTGATTAAAATACATAGAGGATATTTGTCGTTTTAGAGTGAATAACATATTTTATTTCATCGAGAAGCAAGAAAACTTATATTGTCAGCATTCGTGAAAATATAAACGTTTTCTTGCTTAGAGATGAAATAAAATATGTTATTCACGACAAAACGACAAATGTTCTATTTATTTTATGATTTTACAATCATTTTAGGTAAAAACAACATGGACTACTGCTAGCCAGTGGAATAACACTTTTATTTCACTGATAAAACGCGGTATTCCACTACTGATCATAAAATAAAGATCTGTATTTTGTTTCGTTTTTTTATACTTTCGATGGCCTCTATTCAGGCCTCGAAATGGTAACCTGTCACTCAAAATTATCAAAGACCAATCTCATCACACATCATCCATACATGATAACATGTACATGTGGGTACACAAACACTCTTAAATTGTTTAGGTCTTTACGTACAACGGAGTGAAATGTAAACCGTGCAGATGACGGTTTTTCACAGAATTTCCGTGCTTAGTTCTTTCACTTGAGAAATGATTAATTAAATGTACGTGGCGTGGAGGTGAGTATTGTCTTAAGTCAATTTACTGGAACGTCGAGTAAAATTTTGTCTACCTGTCAAGTAGTTTTACTTCCTACCTGTCAGACGTAAAAATCGTCTGTCCCTGACCAGTACAGATGAACATTTTGATCCATGCCTCTACTACATGAAGATCTGACCAGTTGTAGTGGGAGGTTGCGTCAGAGGTCATGCGAGCGGCTTTCAGACATTGATTAATCAATCATCGTTGACGTTTCTAGTGGTTTACCCACAGTTCCGTGCGCAGCACGCCAAGAACTTGCCCTAACAGACCAGAAAGCCTCTTACATAACAACTCTTCCAGATCCTAGTGTTGTGAAGAGAAGTAAAAACGAAATTTTGAACTATAAAAAAAAACGAAACAAAATAGGATCTGTGTTTTAATCAGATTGTTTTGTAAGAATTCCTGTAAACCAATAATGTAAATGTAGAATCTTAATATTTTGATGCTTATGACAAGTCATTTAGCCGCATAATCCTTTGACAAAGAAACATAAATATAAAAACCATCCTTCCACATCAGATTTTTTTGGGGGAACAATTGTCGGAGAACCGAAATATTTTTTTTGTATGGCCTTATAAAACTATTTTTGTAAGATTTCATTTCAAGTTCTCTACATTACTTTACAAGAGAGGTACATGTATATTCGTGATAATTTCGCTTCATATGTATCATTTACTGGACTATGTTGAAACTGAGGTAAAAATTTATATATTAACTTAATAGTTAATGGCAAGGCCATCTAATGTCAGGTATTTGCCATGCAAACTTAATAATGCATTTTCATGTGCCCTCTTATTTTTATTAATTTGCAAGGGGCTGAAGGTATTCTTCAGTAACAAGTGGAAATTACTGAAACTGATTATTGATTTGAATTTGATACAAATCACTGATTATATTGTAAATATTACATAACTTATTTCAATAAACTTGGGTTCATCAGCCATGGTGATTTTGTTCCTGACTGTTACATAATAAATTCCTGATATTTTATTTCTTACTTTACTCCATGGCTTGTTGCTAGTGCTCTACATGTACAGATGTGTATGTATAAGTAAATTCAAAACATATCAATACGTCAACCTGGTTCTAGAAACTATTGTACTATTTTATCAACCTGGTTCTAGAAACTACATGTATTGTACTATTTTATCAACCTGGTTCTAGAAACTATTGTACTATTTTAGGCATAGAGACTTGGAGTGAGTCACAAAGTGAGTAATGCTTAAGTTAATTACAAAACCTGTATGCTTTCTACAATGTCTAAATTTTAATAGGCAAAAAACAAGTAACTAAAGAAATCTGAGGTGGACTACTTTATCAGGATTTCACATAAAACTTACAATCAAGTTCAATTTGAATCGATTGCATTAAGTTTCATGATGGTAACCAAACATTTAAAAAAAAATTCTTTGGTCTGTGAGTAACTGCCCATTATTGACTTCATGCTGCTTCGTTATGCATCTAAATTCAATAGAAATAGAAATATTACCAATATCTGAATTTCTCTTTATTTTACCAAATCAGAACAACTTTTCCAAGAAATTATAATGTCACAAAGTATTTGCCTATATTTAGTAACCTGTTTATTGCCTATTCATTTCACATTTTAATTTATATAAAAAATTATTTTTGGGAAATTTTTTGGTTTTTGTGTTTGGAAGGTATGGTACTTAAATATGTACTATATGTACAATGTATGTATATTACTATCTTCGTTACAAAGTAAAAGTTGCTCTTAAACTGAATTTTATTTTGTACAAAAATCTATTTTATTATTTTGAAACATAAGTTAATTTAGGTTTTTATGTGTATTACCTTTTATTTTCATAGAACAAGTTATTTTGATAGATGTAAATTATTGATGAGGAACTATATAATTAGTCATGTATTTTTATTAGTTCTGAACTTAATAGAAAATGTATTATTCAGAGAAAGAATCCGTAATTATATTTCTTTTAATTTGATGTATCTAAATAGTTTAATTCTGTACTCTATCTGTAACTGTTGTTTTGTTTGTTGAAATGGAAGAGATTTTAAGTTTTAATTTAACTATACGATTTTAAATTTTTATTATTAAAACAGTTTTGAAATTGTTGAATTTTAGATAATCATTACACTGTTACTGTTATGACATACATGTATAATATTGGCAGCTATAATAATGTATCCATGCCTCTATTGTAAAGACATACTGTATATTCAGATTGTTACTTGCTCATTTGAAATCATTAAAAAGAATAAATTATATTAATATGAAAATGTTTAGTCATTCTAGTACATGTATTATTGAGTTTTGTTTAAATATAGAGATTTGAGTACGGTATGGTTAATCTCATTTTCACAGTCTATGCATTCCATATTATGAAGATTCCAAAACATGAGAAATAACCTGTTAAGATAAATGACTCTCTTGGTACATGTACAACCCGTACTCCAGTTTAGGAATAATCCAATTTTATATCTCTTCAAATTAACTTGTACATGTACATCAACTCAATGAAACAACTTTTTATCATTGACATTTATTAATCAATTCACACACTCTTCAACTGAGTAATATTCAAATATAAATTTTTGGATAAAAATTTGTGGTGTTTCCACAGTAGGCATTTTATCCGGAGCAAATCAGTGATTCATAATATATTTAGGATTGCAGCTTGAAATTTTTTTTATCTTCAGGACAAATTGGCACAACTACACAGACCAATATTGCTTTATGCTGTGGTACTGATTTACATGTATATATGTGTAGGCCAGTGAACAACGATTGAGACAAACATTTAATATTACGGTACTAAACACAATGAAAATTTTGTTCAGAGATCAGCATATTAAAACCAAATTATACTTCTATGCAATATTTTGTGTCTACAGCAAACTAAGTCTTTGTTAGTGTTAATAGTATTTTTTTCCTATGTCCAGTGCATATTATATTTAGGCAGAGCGTATCTGTATATTTAATTATTATATATGTATAAACTATTCCAATTTAATAACCACATGTACATAATATAGACACTGTATATTAATTTTCATCCATGAATGTAGTGCTGTCAAACCACCAAATCTGAAGAATTATTTTATGTTTAACAAAGAAAGGTTTTTTAAATATGAAAGAAATGTATGAATTGTTAAAATAAAATTATTAAAGCAGCAATGCACATTTATTTATTTGTAGAATTTGTCAAAGTTGATCCAGATCTGGGGGAAAACAAGCCAACAGTGAGGCTGATGTCCCCTGCTGAAATCCCAAAATAAATAGATGACACATATTAATTAATTGCACATTTATCTTTTTCAAAAGTATCAAGCAATCAAACTGATTATCTATGCTTAATCTAAGCATAAAATATTCACGATCAAACTCAATCAGGTTTTGAAGTACCTCTCCATCAGTTAGAATCAAAGTTATCTTGACCCAAAGCATCGACCAATGAAATTGCCTTGCTTTAGCGGGAAATATTAATCATTGAACTCAGTCAAAACATTCATGTAATGAACATCTATACCTCAATTAAAGGCAGAGTTGTTATATTCCAAATTGCTTATTGCTACTTAGCCTGAGCATAAAAAGCATTCACCTAATAGACACCTGTACCAATTCTGAACATTCTACCCCCATTAGAAGGAAAATTATTGTGTTCCCAAGTCTCAACCAATCAGATTAAGTGGGGATCACATGGGTAAGACGCTGGCTCGCTAGCATTGGACGAGAAAGTTCACCCAGATTTTCCTGCGTGGTTTCCCCTTGTCAGTGATGGAGGACGGAGGACCTGACAAGGACAGCTGTCTAGTCGTTTGAATATGACGAAAAACCGAGGTCCCGTGTACAAATTGGCGTACACGTAAAAGATCCCTTGGCAGTTGGAATTCGATATAAGAGTAGGCCATAGCGCCGCTGCCTGGGCAAAATTTTCCTCATAGCACACTGTATGGCGTATGCCTGTCTTCATTAGCCCAGTTTAGGAGCAAAACAGTAGGACGATAAACCCCATTTCATTTCATTTCATCAGATTAGGTCTCTGCTTTGCCTAAACAGAAAATGGTCAGCATCGAACTTTGTTAAGGTATTGATGTAATGAAATTATACATGAAGTTTCACCACTATCACTCAATTAGACAATTAGAATCAAAGTTGTCGAGCTCCAAAGTCTCGACCAATCAAATTGCTTATCGCTCTGCTTATTATCAACCAAGTCATTGATGTGATGACTCTATACACCAAGTTTCATCACTCTCACTTAATTATCATGTCCCAAAGCATCAACCAATCAAATTGCTTATCTCTGCTTACCCCAAGCAGTAAATACTTATCCGATCTGTATGAAATTTATATGCATCATTGAATTTCAGCAATTTCCGTGAATTACTTCTAGAGTTATGGCCCTTGTTTCATTGTGAAAGCCCTAACGAAACCTATTGAATTGTAACAGTAATGGTCCTTTGTTGATCCTTGTGAACATTCAAACTGTATGAAATTGATAAATCTTGTAAATGCTCTTATTACCTACAAAAGCATAAATAAATTTAGCTGCTGTGGGCGTATGTTTTGTTGCCAGGCACCCTATCTTCATTATCTACTTTTGAACTATTATGGCAGGAATCTCTTTATTCATTTGATCCGATATGTGCATTTCTATACGCCCACATTGAAATGTGGTCGTATTATTGTCGTCGCCTCCGTCGGTCCGTCATTTACAATTGCTTGTGGACGCTCTAGAGGCTAAAGTTAATATCTGATTGACTTTAAATTTATACACAGTGTTTAAGGTCATGAGACGAAGAAGCCTATTGATTTTCTGCTATTTCCGATAATTACTTCCAGAGTTATGGCCCTTGATCACTTCAAAAAATCTTTTGGACGCTCTAGAGGTCAAAGTTAATATCCGATTGACTTTAAATTTATACACAGTGTTTAAGGTCATGAGACGAAGAAGCCTATTGATTTTCTGCAATTTCCGATAATTACTTCCAGAGTTATGGCCCTTGATTACTTCAAAAAAATCTTGTGGACGCTCTAGAGGCTAAAGTTAATATTCCATTGACTTTAAATTTATACACAGTGTTTAAGGTCATGAGACAAAGAAGCCTATTGATTTTCAGTGATTTCCGATAATTACTGCCAGAGTTATGGCCCTTGATCACTTTGAAAAATCTTGTGGATGCTCTAGAGGCTAAAGTTAATATCCGATTGAGTTTAAATTCATACACAGTGTTTAAGGTCATGAGACGAAGAAGTTTATTCATTTTCAGCAATTTTCGATAATTACTGCCACAGTTATGGCCCTTGATCACTTCAATAAATCTTGTAAATGCTCTAGAGGCTAAAGTTAATATCCGATTGACTTTAAATTGATACAGAGTGTTTGAGGTCATAAGACGAAGAATGATATTGATTTTCAACGATTTCCAATAATTACTGCCAAAGTTATGGCCCTTGATCACTTTGAAAAATCTTGTGACCCTCTAGAAGCTAAAGTTATCATCCGATTGACTTCAGATTGATACACAGAGTTTAAGGTCTTGAGACGAACAAGTATATAGATTTTCAATGAATTTTTATGACCTGAACAGATGTTAAAAGTTTCCTATACTAAACGTTAGCATGGGACAAAACTTTATAAAAAAACAAACAAATTCTAATGGTTTTCTGATAATTACTTAATCAGTTGTTACTCTTAATCAGATTTTAATGTATAATAAATGTTTCTTTACTGAAAAAAGTAAAAATATGTGACAACTCTTGTTGACTGCCCAGACGATTTTAGCTGCTGTGGGCGTATGTTTTATTGCCTGGCAAACTATCTTTTGTTTGTGATGTCTGTACATTGTGTCTTTCACGTAGTAGGTTTGTCTTGCGTAATTGTTTGTGTATGTTGCAACCCCCCCTGCATTTACTATTACATAATGGACCTTTAATTAACAATGGTTGAAGTCGTGAAATAATAAAGGGAGCGAGAGAAAGAAATGGGGTTTAACATCCACTCGACACAAACTAGGTCATTTTGGGACTAATACATGGTTCAATTTAATTTCAATAATTTACTTGCGCATAGGGGTCTTTAGCAGTGGGAGGAAACCGGGGGACCCAAAGAAAACCCATGAGGTTGGACAGGCAACCCTACTCCTCGTCACATACAACCATAGAATCGAAACCCCACCAGTTGACTCAATGACAGCGCGCACATGCTAACCATTCCGTCATCCACCCCCTCCCCCAAATAGAGGGAGCCACGGTGGCTCAGTGGGTAAGATGTTGGCTCGCTAACCTAGTGGTCCTGAGTTTGATCCTGGTGTTGGCCAAGAAAATTTGTTGTGATTTTCCTTCACGGTTCCCCCGTATAGCACACTGCATGTTTTCTTTAGCCCAGTCGGTGCAGAACAGTAGGATGTTAAACCCCATTTCATTTCATGAAATAATTACCCATCTCACCATCCTAAATACATTATGACCATTCTCAATACATCTGAAAGTAGATCACAATTTATTTCTCATATGGCATCAGTTCTAAATCCCTATGCATCACAGCACTATGACCATAAGGCTTCAATCTGATAACCATCTTGTACTGGCATGATCATCAACATTTCGATCCACAGCAAATTTGAACACTTTTCAACAATTATAGACCCAAAAGTCAATTAAAAATAGCATGCGAAACAGCAGAAAAGAAGACAAAGAATTATCTATATATAGTTGGATGCTACATTTGTAGAGAACTAACTGATGTCCAGTTCCATTATCTGTGTACCATTTCAAAGAAGATAGATGACTAAGAAAATATAAAACTTTAATGATCAACATAATTTCAACAAAAAAAAAAATCAAACAAAAAAATTCATTCCAGTTCTTGTATAATAGTAGATAACTCTTTATCACTAATCTCATTTGTCTTCAATAAATCCATGGCTTTACATAATTCTATTGCTAATACGTGTTTACACTAGAAAAAAAGAAAGATGTAACAAGACCTTTATGAAACTCAAAACAATATAATATCTGTTGTATCATGTCCCTCTTGATTTCTTTTTTCATTTTCAATTGCAGGACAGTTTTCCTGAAATTTTAAATCCATTCTGGAAGAGCTGCTCCTTAAGACTCTGCTACATCAATTGTAGTTATTGGATTTTCAGGTTATATACTCAGCCAAATTAAAAACTTGACACTGATGAATTTCAACCAATTTTTTTTTCTGGTAAGTCAAATAAATTTTAAAGTGTTTCTAACGATAGTAAGTAGTAAGAAGCCTTTAATTTCATAAAATTGTAAAGTCATGTGGATCAAAGATGAAAAACCTGAAAAACACGTGAGGTCAATCGATGCAAGTTTGCTTAAACTGAACACGCACACGTAACTTGAACTGGAAAAACAAATTAAAATTGTTATTTTCATCTTTGTTAGAAAATGCCGCGCCTTTCAAATGTAGAACGTCTACGTGCTATAGGTAGGCTCTATGCTGGTCAGTCTGTGGTCACTGTTGCAAGAGCCTTTAATTGTTCATGCCAGACAATAATTAATCTTAGAATGAGAGTGCTTCAAACTGGAACTATTGCCGACCGCCCAAGGGGGGGAGCGCCACGTGTAATGTCACTCCAGGAAGATCAAGCAATACGATTACGTCATCTTAGAAACAGATTTGTCACTGCAACCTCAACAAGTAGAGAGATGTTTGATGGAAGGGTAACTGCACAAACTGTTCGAAATCGCTTGCAGGCTGCTGGTCTTCGAGCTCGGAGGCCCTATAATGGACCAATATTGACACCTCTTCAACGCCGTAACCGACTTGTGTGGGCCACAAGACACATAAGATTTACTCAAAGACAGTGGAATTCGGTTGTGGAATTGAGATTTGCCGATGGCAGGGTCCGAATGTACCGCAGTCGAGGTGAACGTTACGCTCAAGTATGCGTCAGAGAAGTTGACCGATTTGGTGACGGCAGCGTCATGGTTTGGGGGTCTTTTTGTGCACATGGACGTTCTCCTCTTGTTGTTGTCCACGGGAACTTAAATGCTGTCCAGTACAGGGATCCGATTTTGCAACCTGTTCTTCTTCCGTTTATGCAGAGACATGGGCCTGGACTCACGTTTCAACAAGACAATGCTGGACCCCATATACAGCAATTGCTACCCAGAAATGCCGGTGTCCAAGTCCTGGATTGGCCGTCGCTTAGTCCCGACCTTAATCCTATTGAATACATCTGGGACAAACTGGGTCGACGTGTTCGTCAGCAAGTGAATCCACCACTGACGTTGCAGGACCTTCAACATGCTCTTGCTGAGCAGTGGCGACGTCTTCCTCGGGTAGTGTTTAATACTAATGTTCTGAGATCCATGAGAAGACGTGTGGCAGTACAAGACACTAGAGGAGGCCACAACTGTTACTAAACACTTTATTCCGATTGTTCTCCAAGTCTGTGAATTTCATTTTGGGGGGTACTGTGACATCACGAACGTCATCAATGTCAAGGACTTTCGGCGAGACGTATTCTTGCTTTCTGTTGATGTCAAGGTCGTCTGTGCACAACATAACACTAAAATAGTTGCCTTAAACCAAATATTAAAAATCTAGTCCCAAAAATCCTGAGTGTCAAGTTTTTAATTTGGCTGAGTATATTACATGCAAATATGTGCCTTTAATAGAAAAAAAATGGAAGAAAAAAATTGGCTCAACAATGTGGTCAGATTGGCTCAACAATGTGGTCGGAATTTCCACCAATCAGCTTGCCCTACATCCTCTAAGGTTTTGGGGTGCCAGTGTCCTCACTAACATAAAACGTAATAGATGAACAATAATACAAACCATTATATAATCTTCTTTTTTCAGTACTGAAATAAACAGCACAAACCTAAATCATTTTAGTCAAACATTCTATGCAGTCCTCAAATCTGGATGCCTAACTGACTGGGGTCAGATATGGTAAATGTTGTCAAATAAAGAGGAATTATCTATTAGTGGAGTACTACCATAAAGTTATTCCTTTTCTACAGTGTTTTTAACAATAATATAACTCCAATTTATTCCAAATTTCTTTAATATGGAAACTAAAGGGAAATAACTGATATAGTATTCATGAAAATTACAAATATCACAATAAAATTTATAACACCATATTTAATCTACGATTGAATTAAATTGTATCTATATCTTCATAACTGACTAACATCCATATTGTTTAATTTTGATTAAATTTAGACTACAATGTATGTTTAAATTAACAAGATAATATTGAATTATATTGAGATAAAGTTTGATTTGATTGTATAAAGGCATTATTCTAACCACAGTTATATAATAATGTTTCATTGTCAGTGATTTAGCCTTCATCATGGAAGTGTATGAAATGTAAAATGTGTATTACTATACCTGAGAATCTGTACGCTGGACAAGAACAATATTTACTAGATGTAAAACATGTATAATATCTGGTACCAGCACTACCGACAACCTGTCCAACAGACATACATTTTCTTAATTACCAGTAACTACTATACCAATGTCCAAAAGAAAGTATACACTGTGCATCTTGTCCTGCTTCAAACAAAGTCATTTTTTCATTGTATGCGGTATTTGGGTACAATGTCCATTTGTTTTGCCTTTTATTTGCTTAGAAATATTTAGTTTGGACGCACGAGACATGTTCAGTGTAGTTTTATCACATTTTTTTTTAAAATTAAACAAAACTTAGTCATATTTTTATTGTGTATACTTTCTTTTAGACATTAGTCAGTGACCGCCCTAGACTCTTAAAACCTTTAGCCAAATTTTTAGCCAAATCAAATTTTTTTTAGCCAATTCAGAATGTTTTAGCCAAATATTTTATATCATTTTTATTCATATGTTTGTTAATTAAAAATGAAAATAAATGTTTGTTTAATATGTACATGTGACATTTAAAATTGAAGAGGTAACACTTTGTTTTGACAGCAATTTGAACTTCTATTTGCAAGTTGGAATGAACCAGAAGATGGATTGTTTTTTCTGAACTATATAATAGCCATGCATATCCCCCCCCCCCTTCTCCCCCAAACAAACAAAATTAAAGACATTGTTTCATTTTGAATGTGTGAACAATTCTTCTGATTCAGCACACACTTCTTTAGCATTGCTGTGGATGAATTTGGATTATATCACAAAACATCAAGCTCATCTAAAGCTTGATATGTGCCAAAATAGAGGTTAAATACAGAGTTCATCAAAAGTAGGCTATTTGTATTAAAAATATTTTAATCCAACAATTATTCAAATCTATCAATTCTAACTTAAATATCTAGGGTTTTTTTTTTGGCTAAATCAACATTTATATGTATTCAAATTGATTATTTAACATTTAATTAAGAAAAGAAAAGTCCTGGCTTGGATTCAATCAGAGGCGTAGCCGTGAAATATATATTGTGGGGGGGGGGGCGTCTGCAACCCTAACCCTAACCTATTTTTTAAAACCCCTAAAAAATATAAACAAACACCATGTGGCCATGTTGTCTACCTAGACACCGCGTGCAAAAGTATTATGGTTACATTGCTGGCTGAGCGGGCGATAAATATTTGGTTTAGGCGGTAATGTTTTTGGGTACCTACATGCGATTCACTCTGATAAGTGGCAGAAAAAAATTAATAAAATATTACTGACAGGGGATGTTCAGGTGGGTTAGCAATGACCTCACACCAAATTTCAGCCGAATCGGTCAATAACTTTTTATTTTACCTTAGTTTAGCTTCTATAAGAGATAAGTTTATCCGATTTTGACGCCCCCCATGTGTGACGCCCATGGATTCAATTAGATTAAAAAGATTACAGGTAGCGCTGGTATCATCTGCAGACGATGCCAAATAATAATTATTTTATCTTCTTCATATAAGCCAATCCACTCTATATGAAGTTAATTTTGTTCATGGATATGCTTAATTACATAACAACATCCATTAAAGTAGTGTATATTTTTATATGTGAATTATCTCACTTGCTGTACCTTTAAAAACAATAGTATGGTTATTTGTACCTGATATACCTGCCTTCCATTACTTGAAGTTATCAATGTTACTGATTCATTATCTATTAATTCTAGAGCTGGTAGAAGTGGTGTTTGATAAACAAACTGTAGTCTGAAAATACAATAGAAATTTCTTAGTGTGGTATTACTAAATCTGCAAGTAAAGTCCTACTATTTAGTTAAAGTGGTGCAAATGTCGTTACACCAATAATAGCTCTTATCAAATAAAAATCATGTCTCATGCTAGGCCTATAATATGGTGTATAGTTCATCAGTCTAACAAAATACCTCCAAGATAACCTTTGGCTATTGATATTTTCATCGTGTTTGCTATTTATAAACGGCAAAATATGAGACAGGCCTTCTGGCTTAATTTTCTAGACTTGGAAATGATAGTCATATTATTATTTAATTAATAAATTTCTCAAGCAAAAGTTCTTCTAGTAGTGTACAAGAAAAGGAAAGCTTAGAATATAACAAATTCAAACTGAAAATGAGGGTTTTGAACTTGTAGGACATACTCTCTCTTTAGGCTGTGTACTTACGCTGATAATATTTCATCGGTTACTGAAAAATAAAAATTAAAGTGTAATGCAAAGACATAAATTTGAAATAATAAGCAAAAATAGTACATGCATCTGAAATTAAAACTATTTATTTCCTAAGACCATATGATTACAATGAATAAGCCCTGCATATTAAAGTAGGTCTTCAAGTTGAAAGCAAGTGATCTTCTCGCACTTATGCAACCCAATGGCAAATTGAAGGTCAGCTCTTAAAAACTCGCCAGCCTTGCCTATAACATGAAAAATTACCTGTAGGTCATGCTGAAATCCAGAATGCCTTATGATTTGTTGATAGGAAAATATGACCCGTGAATTCATGCAGAAGGCATTGTTGACCTGAGGATTGAGACAATATTTCATTACATAAACCGTACACACAGCAGCCAGTTACCATATATATATATGCAATAACTACTATTTTTTCCAAACTATAGGCCTACATTTGTTATTTGTTACAATCGAAGTAAAATCTGTATAGCCTGTAATGATCGAGAGCTTACATTTCCCATGTTCTCTATAAACCTTTTTTACTTCATTCATTAATTGATTTGTTACTTCTGTTAAAGTTTCCACTGAAAAATAGCAAAGTTATGCATGGTTATAATATCTACGACTTTTTTGTGGCAGTGAATTTGGAAATTTAACTTGTCTTGGTGTCGTTTTAAATTTTGCGTTATTTGATCTGAAAAGTAGCAAAGTTACAAACAGTAGCCTATATACCGGTAATCTATGACTATGAGTATGATTTTTTTCTTTTCCAAAATTTTGATTTTTTGGGGGCAGCAAATTTAGGGAATCCTGAAATGTTGTCTTTTTGGTGAAAAGTGCTGATGGTGGCAAAAAGACAAACACATAATTGTCTTTGCAATTAATTTTATTTTTTTTTTATTGTAACTCTAACTGCTATAAAATGTTATATCTATTGTTGACTGCGATATCACCCCGGTGGAAGCGGACGTTAAAAAAAAGAAGCTATTTCAGAGACACTTTCTCTGTGAGGGAGAGCTAGGATAACCATTCAGCTCTATCATGGACCTTATGTATTATATAAGGTCTATGGCTCTCTATCTATGCCGCTTTGGCATGGCCATAAAGGCCTAACCCTAATATTTCCAGCCTTTAGTTTAAATATTCAAAGCACGGATATATACTCTATTAGAATATACATTTACATACTTAACACTGCTTAAAAACTAGTTCATGAGAATTGATTTTCCAGCTTTTTAACTTGAGCCCCACTGACAAACACTGAGTAAAAACTAGGAAGAGGCCACTTATCTATCAAGGTAAGAGAGCTTTCTGATTTTACCGTTAGCTAGTAGGCCACTGGAAAAGTGTTCAGTAAATGTACCTATCTAAAAATAGTTTAGCCCGATGAACTAAAGATGGCTGGAGAATTGGAAAGTATTGAAAAGCTTTTAGAAAATTATATTCCATCACCAGACTTAGCTGAAGTAAGGCGAATATTGTATGGCAAGGAACTGAGGTAGCACATACCGTTGTTTTACAAGATGTATTTGTAAATGACATGCTTAGCAAATAGTGAAATAATATTACGAATATATCTTGAGTCAGTTGGAATAATCTATTTTGAATGTTAGGGATGACAGCTTGTTTTCTCAAGTTGGTTTTCACATGTTCCTTGGATAAAGTTATCTCCGCATGACACATTAGATTACTTGTCCCTACCCGTATTTCAATGCACTATTATTATGTCTATTACTATTAGTATTATGGACCAAGGTTAAGGTTGGCTAAATTTGGCCAGACATCATAATTAAATCATGTCAAAACCAAATAAATAAAATAATAATCGATTTTTTATAGTACTGAACAAAACCACAGGGCCAGGGGAGCCATGGCTCAGTAAGGTTGACTTGCTAACCTGGAGACCCACTGTTCGATTCCTGTGTTGAAAGAGAAATTTCATTATAGGGACAAAGTATAGTCATTCGGATGGGATGGAAAACTGAGGTCCTGTGTTCACATTAACGTGCATGTTGTAGTGCCGCTGTCCAGACTCATCTTCATTAGCTTTTTTAGTAGGTTCAAAACAGTAGGACGTTAAACCCCATATCTTGTACAAGAAACCATAGAATTTAAGACAGCATAATACCAGGTAGTTGCCTTTGTAAATCATCCCCCGTCTTCATTAGCCCGGTTGGAGCAGAAAACCCTATTTCATTCATTCATTCTATTTAAATCAAAATTTATTTTCTATCTAACTTTTAATTTGTTATCCAACTTTTCTTTAAAAGGAAGTTATCATTACCACAATCAGCATTAGACATTGCTAAACAAAAAGAATTTCAACTAGAAAGTTACGGATTTGATGCAGCTAAAGAAGCAACTAGAACTGCACGTATTGTAAGAGTCGGTGCTATACAGAATAAGATTATAGAACCCACAAGCGCACCAATTACTGTTCAGGTAACACAGAGAGAGAGAGAGAGAAATGGGGTTTAACATCTATTCGACACAAATTGCACGTAGGGGTCTTTATCAGTAGGAGGAAACAAGAGGACCCAGAGAAAACCCATGAGGTTGGACAGACGACCATTCTCCTTGTCACGTACATCTACAAGCAGGGAATCGAAAACACGCCATTTGACTCAATGAGAGACCGTGGGATACAGCGTGCATGTGCTAACCATTCGGTCACCCCCCCCTCGACCTTAATTGTGATATAATACGCACGCATTAAACCATTCGGACCCCCCCCCCATTCATGTAACAGAGACAAGGTGTCGGAAATATTTGATTAAATCTCTGAATATTCTATGTTGACTGCCAATATTTTAAATGAGTTATGTTCTATTGGCAATTATATATTGTCCACTTATGTGTTGCTTACAAAGATGTATGATGATTCTTTAATTGTGTCAATTTACTGATAATTGCTTTCAGAGTTATTGCCCTTCACTACTGTGAAAAATCTTATGGGAACTTTGGGAACTTTGGAGGCCAAAGATATCATTCGATTGACTTCATACCCAGTGTTCAGATGTTTCTTACTAAAAGAATCAAATTAATATTTGAAGATTTCCTATTATAAATTTCAAAGTTATTGCCCTTGATCCCTTTGCAAAATAGACAGAAGCGATACAGTATTATCCAAAAAGTTTAATTTTTTTTAATTAAAAGACATACCTTGTGCTTTTTTTTTTTTTTTAGAGAGAAGCTTTAGAGAAACGTATCAGTGAGATAATAGAAGTAGCAGCAGAATGTGGAGTAAATATTATGTGTTTACAAGAAGCATGGAGTAAGATAGCTATAATAAAATCCATTATCCTTTGAACCCCAGACCTCATAATAGGTCATGCTCCCACACCTTTGCCTCGCAGGGTAAATTGCTCAATTTTTCTATTTTGATTAAATGAGGTTTTGTCATTCCCTTACTAGCAGAAGACATCTATCCTTTTGAAAAGCGGAGTGCCTGACAAGGACAGCTGTCAAGCCGTTCGGATGGAACGGAAAAAAAATGAGGTCCTGTGTATACATTGGCATGCATGTAAAAGATCCCTTGGCGGTTGGAATTCGATATCAGAGTAGACCATAGTGTTGCTGTCTGGCGTATGCCCATCTTCATTAGCCCAGTCGGAGCAGAACAGAAGTATGTTAAACCGCATTTCATTTCATTTCCCTTTGAAAAAAACTTACTTTCTTTGCTAGGATATTCAATAGTGTTGTGAAACCTAATTTACAAAACTTCCAACTTCCAATTTTAGCTCTTAGCCAATGAATGGTCTGAATTATTTAAATGTTTTAAGTTTTTGTCATTAAGGCGCCATCATAATATGATATCAGATATGTGATCTGTCTAAAGTTTCTTTTATGCATGATTTTAAAAAAGTCTCAACAACAAAAATTGTCACAAATTGTACTATTCTGAAGTTGCTAAAATAAGTTTGAATCAAATGGGTAAGCAAAGAAAAGTCACATGTAGACTGCTACAGTTTTCCCTACTTTCTAAAGGTTATGTTTAATAAAACTTCATGTAAATGAAACAACTTTAGATCAAATGATATCCATTTAATTAGGAGTTATTCTCCATTTGTCTTAATTGAAAAATGAAAAATAAACACTGTGCATTGAAGTGTGTGGAGATGTACAAAGAGATCATCAGACTTTACTTTTCAAATTCTAAGTCATTATTTCAAAGCTATTCCAATATTTGATTCAATTAAAATGACCAATATCTAGGCTGTTTTTGCTGCATTTTCAGATATCTAAAAACTATAAATTTTTCAAATCAATATATTTTTCATTATCATTTTATTTTGGGATGTAAGTTGAATAATTGAATTAATATTAATAAATAACAAATAACAGGCAAAATTTTATTATTAGTTTTAAATAACATCAAATAACAAATATTGAAATTTCAATTCAAATAGGATTAAAAAATTTGAATACTTGTGTGAGCCCTAACTGAAAGTATACAGTAGTTCAGTACATTGTAAATGTATAACAAAAAACAAATTCCCTGCAATGTTGCAAGAATTTTTTTCTCCTGATTGGGGTAACTCACCAAAACTTTGCAACAGACAGCATGAATAGAAAGATTGACAAACATTTTAACACTTATCAGAAAAGCACATGCTTTTATGGTAACCATTTAAAATTATTGTGAACAATTACCTACTACATGTACTGGGTAGGTTTAATGATTTTAATTATATACTATAATAATAATCATAAGTATATACTCATTAATTGAATATTTACTTCAGATATGCCGTTTGCTTTCTGTACTCGTGAAAAACAACCATGGTGTGAATTTGCAGAATCTATAGAAAATGGCCCAACCACTTCCTTAATGAAAAAGGTAATATGTAACTAATTTTGTAGTTGAATCAGATGTCCTATTTTTTAAATGATAAAATTTTTCTTATTAAACCACAATCATTTTAAATATATCTTTACAGATAATTTAAAACACTTTGTCTGCGTTAGAAAATTAATCTTCCTAGATTATTTAATGAAACCTTTTGCATACTAAAGAAATCTTTCAAATTGAACCATTTGTGCCCTGCTTGTACATGTAATATGAACTGAGAAAAACAGCTACAATTGGTTCCAAAACCAATATTGATTTAAAGGGGCATTGTCGAATTAATACTAATTCCAACAACCAAATTTGAAAATAGATCTTTGCTGGATAGTCAGGGCTATATTTATATATGTGATATAGTTAGTAAAGTTTTCTCGATCAAACAGACACAAGGTCTGGTGAACATTGACAATTCATTCCCAAATATGGGACCGAATTTGAAAAATCAACAAATACCATGCATTAATGTGCTATAATATCTTGCTTCTGTTTCCATGTTAAACTGTAACTCTAAGCACAGCTATGAAAATATGTTTAATATAGCGTTAAATTGTGTATATTTTACAGTTAGCTAAGAAGTATAATATGGTGATTGTATCTCCTATATTAGAACGAGATGAACAACATGGTGATGTACTGGCTAATACTGCAGGTAGGGGCATCACATTGTTTAGATAGGATTTAAAATAAGTGATAGTGTATTGCGAAGGAAAATCAAATGGTGCATAAGTTCAGAGAAATAATAAACTATAGTATGTACGAGATTATAAACAAAATGTCATAGACTAAATAAGTAACCCCCCCTTGCAAAAACTATCAGGCCAGCTTTTAAACTATCTGGACAACAAGACCGTAATTGAAATGAACATAATATATGTTTTGATACAAGAACACTGAATTCGTCAACCTTTGATGTGTTTTTTTTTTAGTTGTAATTTCTAATAATGGTGAAGTTTTGGGTAAATCAAGAAAGAACCATATTCCTAGAGTAGGAGACTTTAATGAGGTAAATACAATAACCCTTTATTTATCTATGAAGACATTATGACAGCTAGGCTATCTGTAATATCAGCATGGATCAAAAATATTTGTTAAGAGTCATATTATAGGAATAACCTGACTCTTGTATTATTTATTTACTTAAAATGCTTAATTTGGTCACATTTGTTATTTCAGTCCACATATTATATGGAAGGTGATACAGGTCACCCAGTATTCCAAACACAATTTGGTAATTACACACATTTGGGATTTTTCATAGGTAGAAATAGGGAACCATATATATTGAACAATTAGGTAGATTTTTATGGCAAGTCAACATTTTTCTAAAACTTATATAAACGTCATATAGTAGTACTCAGTTAAATTTCATTAACATTTTTCTAATAATTGATTAGGTGTTACTTTTTAAAGCTTATCTGAGACAAAGTACTCATTGGAATTTTAAAAAGAAACTTGGGTGAACTTTTCATTGTAGGTCGTATTGCCATCAATATATGCTATGGTCGACATCACCCTCCTAATTGGATGATGTATGGTATCAATGGTGCTGAAATAGTATTCAATCCGTCTGCTACAGTTGGTGCTTTAAGGTAAACACTTTTATTCTATTACAATTCACAAATTCTTCTGTATCAAATTACAAGTTTTATTTTTTAATGGAAACTGTAAAAGTATTAGGAATTTTGAAAGTAAATGTAAATGGGTGAGTTTTAATGGTTGGTCATTTCAAAACATCAGTCATTTTGAGGGTAGCATGTGGTAATTGTTGTTTTATGCCACTAGCTGTACTACCTGACGTTCCAGCTTGTTATTTGAAATAAAAATCCTAATGATGGTGTCTGTAGTTTTTATATCATATAACCGTAGAAATAGGTTGCTAGTTGACTATGAAAATTATCGTCAAGTTACAACCGCTCTATTACATTGTGCATGTGAAATTCAAAGCATGTGGTTATTTGAGGTTAATATTACCTAAATATCAACCTTACAGAAGGTTGATATGGGCAATAGCCACCTTTAAACATTAATAGTTGCTATGGGAGATATAGTCTGAAGGTGTGTAGCTAATTTGGTCTCTGACTAACGAATAAGGCAGGGGACTATTAATATGGGCTTGTCCGTCCGTCTGTCTGTCCATCACACTTTTTAAGACACAATAACTCTGCTTCCAATTGAGCTAGAATGGTCAAACTTGGTGTAGGTGTTTATTAAGCAAATGCTTTGATGGAGTTGGATGATGTGCTTAGCCTGAGCAGAGATAAACACTTTAATTGGCTTATGCTTTGCAAAAGTAAGTCTTCTTTCTTGGACACCGTTGGAACTGTGTTGTTGTCATAGCAGACACAATTGTCATTTCATCAGTTATGCTACACCAAATATGAAATAATTAGCACTGTTAAATTCCCAGTAAAAGTCTGGTTATTATGAAGGGAGGGGGGAATATTTAATTATACTATTCAAAAAAAGTAGGGGATATTTGATTTTGGGGGCATAATACTAAAATATGCAAATGACTACGAAAAAAGTCACTATAAAACCTAACAGAAGAAACATTTCCAGTTACATGTGACACCCAAACGCACCAATAGCTACCGCATGGAATGCAGGTGATGCTTGGGATCATCATGGGGGTCCAACCCAAGATTTGCACGACTCTGACTTTGAATGTTACAGTCATTGTGGCATTGAATTCCAGGGTGGAAACATCAGTTTAATTGTTTTGGTGACCAGAAAACAAATTTTGATATGCGTCGGCTTACCCAAAATGAAAGGTTACGTGCCCTTGGCATGCTACAGATCGGCACAACACAGGCGGTTGTGACGCGGACGATGAATGTTTCTCAGTCTGTCATAAGCAGGCTATGGTCCAGATACCGTGATACACAATCTGTACAGGACAGACCACGCTCAGGTCGACCAAGGGCGACAACTCAAGCCCAGGATCGATTTATCCGTACCTTGGCCTTGAGAAATCGTGTCATCACAGCAAATCAGATCAGCGCTCGTCTTCAAACAGACACTGGTGTGAGAGTGAGTGGCCAGACGATTCGGAATCGACTGCATAGGGGTCACCTTCGCGCCCGACGTCCTCGCGTGATCCCTTGTTTGAGAGATCATCACATTCAGGCAAGACGTCGTTGGTGTAGGGATCGTCAACACTGGGATAATCGACGCTGGAGCAATGTGATGTTTTCAGATGAGTCAAGGTTCACTGTTGATTTTTTGGACAGACGTAGGAGGGTGTGGCGTCGTCGAAACGAGCGCTTCCAAGACGTTAACGTCATCAGACATGATCGATTTGGGGGTGGTGCTGTTATGGTGTGGGGAGGCATCACTGTTGCTGGAAGAACGGCTTTACATGTTGTTGCAGGGCGTGTTATAGGCCAGTACTACCGGGACAACATCTTGGCAGTCCATGTTGTGCCGTTCGCACGACGTCATGGCCGCCGTTTCATCTTCCAGGATGACAACGCAAGATGTCACAGGGCCAGGATCGTTACAGGTTACCTCCAACAACAGAACATCACCACATTACCTTGGCCAGCACTGAGTCCCGACCTCTCCCCCATCGAGCATGTCTGGGACATGCTTGGACAGAGGTTACGTCAACGTCAACAACGTCCTGCCAATGTCCAAGAACTTGCTGCTGCGTTGCAACAGGAATGGGACAATCTGGACCAAAATGACCTTAGACGTCTCATTAGGAGTATGCCACGTCGGATCAATGCTTGTTTGGCAAACAGAGGAGGATTTACCCGTTACTGACTTGGTTGTGATGCTGTGGTAACTTTGCTGTTTGACCCCGGGTATCATTTTACCCTTATAATGGTCAGTCTGTGCCTTACTTAGTCTAACGATCATTTGGAATAAATCGATGAATGTGAACTTCATTTCATTTTGTCATTTGTTTCTTCGTCAGTTTCATTAGGTAACTTTAATAACACTTAAAAATCAAATATCCCCTACTTTTTTTGAATAGTATATTATAAAAGAATTTCATTCTGTGTTTTAGTGAACCACTGTGGCCAATAGAAGCCAGAAATGCTGCCATAGCTAACAGTTATTTTACTTGTGGAATTAATAGAGTTGGAACAGTAAGTTCATTATAATTGCTATAAAGGGGGAAATATAATTAACTTGTTTACCGGTATTTGCATCTATCTGGATAAGTTCTGAACTCACTGTAACCATGAATTTCTGTTAATTTCTTGTTGACTTTTGGATTACGGTATGGTCCCTGCAGAGGCTATTTAACACTTTAGTATGGCACTTATTTATCTTAGTTTTCTTCTTTTTAGGAAGAATTTCCAAATGAGTTTACTTCTGCCGATGGAAAACCAGGTATATTGAATAAATTCTTATGTTTCTCATAGGTAAAATTATCTCCAACCATTAACTTACAAATTGGTAAACGTGTCTTTTCCTATTCTGGACCTTTCTTTGGAATAAACTATCACATTCAATAAAACAATTAACGTCACTCTGTGAGTCCATTTTAAATCTTATCTCAAAACATTCCTGTTAAGTTAATAATCGGTAAATATAACAACCAACAGCATCTTAGAAATTTTTCCTCAGTATTAAAATGCTTTATAAATTACTATATTTATATTATTATTATATTATGATATCAAATCACAAAAAGACAAGCCTGCTCCTTTATCTTTTAATAGAAAAGTTTTCAATTTCAACCCTTGCTTAATCTTTGAATGGGCTGAAACCATCAACATATTAATATTTCAAGTATTGAACAGTATGCATATGTGGAGTATTATTTTTTCACCCTTAAAACTTAATTCTTATCTGTTTGTCTTAATTTCAGCTCATAAAGATTTTGGACATTTTTATGGTAAGTGCTTTTTCTGGAAAAATCAGATTCTCTCTGTGAGTTATTAAAAGCATATTCTCTCTAGAAATGAAAAGTAATTCAGGTCAAATTTTACAAGCTTACACTATATATGTACTTTATGTAGCCACAATTATGCAGACAATAGTCATGTTTTAATATATGTCAATCCATAAAATAATAATAATTGATTTGCATTTTTCGGAAAAATCGCATTTCTCACAGCTTAATCTACGCTAATAAGTACTCAGATTGGTTATTTAAGATTTAATTAAAAAAGCAAAATCAAAATACCATTGCAAGATAATGTCCTAGCTTGGTTTCAAAACAGGCCCATCAAATTGGTTCATGGCAAATAAAGATGGCAGCATCTTGTTACGTAGGGAGCAGCATAGATCGATGGAATTTTTAATTTGTCATAACTTTGTAAACACTTAACAGAATTGAACCATATTTCAACTGATATTTTTATTAAGGATTCAACCTTCACAATACTGTAGTTTGCCAGGGATTCTATGGAACTAAAATCAGGCATAGAGTCTTTAAATTGTGTAGTTGGCAGAAATAAATTAATAAATGTTGCTCTCTAATTGTATGTTAAATTGACCCCAGTTTTATCATTTCCTTTCTTATACTCCACAGAAATCACTTATAAAACTTGATTGTACTGTAACGTTACAAGTAAAATCCCCAACATTGATAAGATTGTTTTTGCTTCTAATTTAATCAGCTATCTTATAGTTTGTATTTATTGTTTACAGGGTCAAGTTATTTTGCTGGTCCTGATGGCAGTAGAACACCAGTAAGTAGCATATTGTATAAGTCAATAATTAAAAGATACAACCCCATTGCTGAAATGTTTAAACAACCCTCTGACATCTTTTTCTGTCTTTATATACCTGTACATTAATCAAATGTACAAGTGACGTGCATAAAGATTGAATTTGTGGGTGTTGATGGATTCGAAAGGGAACCATGGACACTCATACGATTGATGGGTGCAGGGTGACGTTGTTTTCCCTATGGCGTATTGGCAAACTTCGGAGGCTACTTGATCAGAGCTTGACTGAGAAGCTTATCCACGCATTTGTAAGTTCATGGTGAGTAATAGCTCACTATTTGGTTCATATGGTTACCAATTCCGTAAATTGCAGCACATTCAGAATGCTGCTGCTCGCTTAATAGTCAAACGCAAGTTGGATCGTCTGGCAGATATGACGCCCATATTGATGTAACACCACTGGCTACCAATTGAAGCTCAGGTCCAGTTTAAGGTCATCTGTATAATTTTCAAGTTGATCCGTCATACAACATCTGCACCATTATATCTCACTGACCTGATTTCTGTTCCTACACCGGTGACAAATCTTCGTAGTGCTGACGGTGTGAAACTTTTGTATCAACCACTTCGACCCAAATAATCAAGAGCTTTTGCACCAACCCTATGGAATTCCTTGCCTGGTTACTTGAGGTCTATTACGAATTTGATATCTTTTAAATGCTCTTTAAAAACATACATTTTTCAAAAATGTTATTCAACATAATGTATTTATGTCTAGTGACCAATTAATGTTTTTACATATCTATATATGTTATGTACAGCGGTTTGAGATTTTTTAATGTAAATCGCTATATGAAAAATTAATTATTATTATATTAGTATTATAGGGGTGGGAACTTGAGTCAGAGTTGTGTCCCAAGTTGCCACTCATTAAGTCTGAGTCGCTAACTTCATTACCAAGTTGAGTTGAGTCCCAAGTCTTCACAAAGCCCGTTCATGTCGCCAGTTCATCAAATGAGTCAGCAATACATGTTGAATAAGGGAAGTTAGAATATGTCCCCTCATTGCGTCTTGAGTCCTTAGCTCTTTCAAGTCGCGAGTTGTGACGACAATGAATAAATATTGAGTCACAACTCACAATTTATTCGCAAATATACTCCTAATTTCCTATGAAGTTTGGTTTAGATCATGTTTTTTATTGCTTGCAATGTCTGTGTGGTTTGTGTGTCTTTTCCTGTGCAGGGTTTTCTTATACATGTATTTGTTTGGTTTCATTATGAGTGAAGTCTGTATCACAGCGGACACTTAATACGGCTGGCTCACTTGATTTGATGCATACGTTTGTTGACTATTATTTGAAATGTCTGTGTATACTGTGTGTCTTGTCCACAGGATTCTGTTGTGTAATTGTTTATTTGTGGTGTGGTCCTCCTGCAATTACTATTATGAGGTATTATTACCGCCGAAACTTAAGAAATATACCCATTTGCCATTTGGAAAAAAAGGTGAAATTAAAATATCAGGTTCCTACAGATTGTTAAGCCCATTCAGTCAAAGTTGGATGGCCATATGATCAAAACTGATACTTTTTGCACAAGACAAGTCATTTTCATTACAAATGCACCCTTTGACCCGTAACCTGGTCAAGATTGGTAAAAGTTATCATGATAAAAGTCGTGTCCAGTTTTGTGTGTACGAATGATGTCTATTTTGAATGCACTTTAAATGGTTATAACTATTAAATGCATTATAGGTTTTATAAGAGCCAATTATAGGGCCTCCTGTTTTTATACGCCCACATTGAAATGTGGTCATATATTGTCGTCGCTCCCGTCCGTCCAACGGTCCGGCGTCCACAATTGCTTGTGGGTGGATGCTGTATAGGCTAATGTTAATATCCGATTGACTTTAAATTTATACACAGTGTTTAAGGTCTTGAGACGAAGAATCCTATTGATTTTTAGCGATTTCTGATAATTACTGCCAGAGTTATGGCCCCTGATCATTTCAAAAAAATCTTGTGGACGCTCTAGCGGCTACAGTTAATATCCAATTGACTTTAAATTTATACACAGTGTTTAAGGCCATGAGGCGAAAAACGCTATTGATTTTCAGCGATTTCCGATAATTACTGCCAGAGTTATGGCCCTTGATCACTTCAAAAAATCTTGTGGCCCCTCTAGAGGCTAAAGTTAATATCTGATTGACTTTAAATTTATACACAGTGTTTAAGGTCATGCGATGAAGAAGCCTATTGATTTTCAGCTATTTCCGATAATTACTGCCAGAGTTATGGCCCTTGATCACTTAAAAAAAACTTGTGGACACTCTAGAGGCTAAAGTTAATATCTGATTGACTTTAAATTAATACACAGTGTTTAAGGTCATGAGATGAAGAAGTCTATTCATTTTCAGTGATTTTTGATAATTACTACCAGAGTTATGGCCCTTGATCACTTCAAAAAATCTTGTGGATGCTCTAAAGACTAAGTTAATATCTGATTGACTTTAAATTTATACACAGTGTTTGAGGTCATGAGACAAAGAATCCTATTGATTTTCAGTGATTTCCGATAATTACTGCCAGAGTTATGGCCCTTGATCACTTCAAAAAATCTTGTGGACGCTCTAGAGGCTAAGTTAATATCCGATTGACTTCAGATTGATACACAGAGTTTAAGATCCTGAGACGAACAAGTATATTGATTTTCAATGAATTTTTATGACTTGAACAGCTAAATCCATGACATTAAAAGTTTTGTATACTAAACGTTAGCATGGGGCAGAACTTTATAAAAACCAAAGAAATTCTAATGGTTTTCTGATAATTACTTCATGAGTTGTTACTCTTAATCAGATTTTATTGTATTATAAATGTTTCATTACCGAAAAAAGTAAAAATATGCGACAACATTTGTTGACTGCCTGGACGATTTAGCTGCTGTGGGCGTATGTTTTGTTGCCTGGCAACCTATCTTTACAAAAACAATATCCTACCTCACACTTGCTTTTGCTGAAACTTTTAGTTTGAACATCTGTTACAGTTATTAGATAATTATGAAAACTTAAAAAAAAGCTAAAGAAAATAAAATTTTGTTTGTAAAAATGTCAATAGCGACATTTGTTTTTGTTTGGCAAATTTTTGGTGATTCAAAATTATCAAAAAATTATCAAAAATTCTCTCTGTTGAAAGATTCCATTTCATCTTACAATTATAAAGAATGTTTATACAAAAGAATGAAAAGATTGTTTTTGTGTCCTACATTTTTACAATTATGTACTTAAAAGAAGAAATACATAATAATAAAACCAGTATATTTAGAAACATTTGGTAATATTCTATTGATTATAAAAATAAAAAAAAATATACTACAGTAAATCATTAGTGACAATGTTTTCTAAAAGTACTTTTTTATATAAATTCATATAGGCCAAACCAAATAAAAACTAGATTTCTGCTTAATGAAGCTAAAGAGGTTTCATGGCTTGCTAGTAATGTAAAATCCTCCCCAAAAAGGCATAAAACAAATTGGAATTAATTGGTGCATTTCAAATCCTTTCTTAATTAGCCCAGTTCGGAGCAGAACAGTTGGACGTTAAACCCCATTTCATTTCAGTTGCATTTCAAATCGTATTAACCCACATATTACTTAGAAATTCTAAAAGTCAATCTAGAAAGATTGACCAAATTGCTAATTTTTTTTATTTGAGTTAAATATGTTTTTGATATGAAAAGTATATATATCCAAGTGCTTTCTCTGTTAGTAGTTATTAATAAAAAAACAGTTACCTTATTTTCCATAGTGAGCAACTTTTGTCAATACTCCATTTTGAATAATGCATCTTTCAGTAATATATTGTTATTGTAGGAGTGTTTCAATACATTACGCAATGTCTTGCACAAGATCATTAAACAACTTAAAATACAGACACTATTCTGCATGTGCATTTCAATGAAATCGTCATGCAGGTCCAACATTTCATCTGGTATAAATAATGTACAATTGGCATGTTGCCCATACCATTATTTGAAATAAGGTACACCAACATCATAGGAATAATTGTAGTCACTTTCATATGTATATATACCACCTGTCCCTTAGCGTGGATACACACCTTTAAAGTTATTGATGGTAGTCTGTTCTATAGATTTCCATATTTAAATTTAACAAAATTAATGGCTAAAAGGTGGTTTTTTTTATAGTGATCTATACCTGTTAACTAAATAAAAGTAGGTTATATGTCATCTTATGATCTTAAACTTGATGTTAGGGATAAAAACAAGTTAAGTTAATCTTATTAGTTCGGTGACATTCTAAGATAAAAAATCATAATATCAATATAAAGTAAAAGGATAATGGCTAATATAGGATTGGTTATATTAAATGAATTTTTGGACCAACGTGCCTTTTATTAAAGACTGCTTGTTATATTTTCCTTTTAATCTGGAATACTGGTGCCTTATATAGTTTGTATAGTCATAGTTATTCTTAGAAAATAAAGCAGCCCAAAGCATAGTTCTTTTTTAATGTCAGTACATGATCTCATTTGATTCTGGAATGGACTATTCCAATTACATGGAACTGATCATTATTTCTGGTAGGATATTGCTTGGTAGTTAAAATAACTGTTGACAAACAGACTTAACTGATCAATAACTGTGGCTAGTGTCCCCTTTGTTCTCTTTTATGATGTGTAAATAATACAATTAGTTACTGTATCCATTTGACTTTTAAAGGTCGACTGCTCTTAATGTTGACCCAGACAGAGACCCATGATATTTCTAGGCCACATGTTCTTTTAAGAGGAGGATGTACTCTAAATGTACTATAATACCAAGTGAGTAAACTTTACCCTGAATGACATGTACTTTATACACAATATTATGTCAAATGTGCAATCAGTCAGGTTAGAATTACAAACATGCTTTATTTTCTTTTGTTATAAGTCATCATAAGCTTTTTTTGGTCTACAAAAAGGTAAAAATAAGAATTAAATAGGCTTTACATCGCCAAACATGCTTCTAAAGCAGGGGACTATTTAAATGGATCTGTCTGTCCGTCATACTTTTTGGGACACAATAACTCTGCTTCTAATTGAGCTAGAATGTTCAAACTTGGTGTAGGTGTTTATTAGGTGAATGTCTTGATGGAGTGCGAAGATGAGCATTTTCTGCTTAGAGTATTGAAAGATAGGAAATTTGATTGGTTGATGCTTTGAGACACAATAACTTTAGTTCTAATTAGGTAGGAGTGATGATACTTGGTGCATAGTTTCATTACATCACTCCCTTGACTAAGTTTGATAATGAGCATTTTCTGCTCAGGGTAAGCAGAGTGATAAGCAATTTGTTGATGGAGACTTTGAACACAATAACTCTCCTTCTAATTGAGGTAGAATGTTCAAACTTGGTGTAGGCTTCCATTAGGTGAATGCCTTGATGGAGTCTGAAGATGAGCATTTTCTGCTTAGTGTAAGCAGAGATAAACAATTTGATAGGTTGATGCTTTGTGATCTGATAACTTTAGTTCTAATTAAGTAAGAGTAATTAAACTTGGTGTATAGTTTCATTACATCGATATCTTGACTAAGTTCGATAATAAAAGGTTCGCACACTCCTTGAAACTCATTGAAAATCCTGGAAAAATGAAAATGTGCTTTTAATTGAGGTAGAATGTTTAAACTTGATGTAGATGTTCATTAGGTAAATGTCTTGACTGAGTTCAATGATAAACATTTCCCACTAAAGCTAAGCAGAGCTAAGCAATTTCATTGGTCAATGATTTGGGACAAGATAACTTTGATTTTAACTAATGGATGAAACTTAGTGTATAGTTTCACTACCAGGTTCTTCAAAACCTTGACTGAGTTCGATTGTGAACATTTTATGCTTAGACTAAGTATAGGTAATCAGTTTGATCAATACTTTTGAAAAAGATAAATGTGCAATTAATCTATATGTGTCATCTATCTATTTTGGGATTTTGGCAGGGGACATCAGTGTCATTGTTGGCTTGTTTATATGTAGTTTGGGTATATATAGTTGAATAACTTGTCCATCCACCCTTGAACAATTTGCTCATTAATGCGATACAGGCTACAGTTTTTAACATATTTCTTTTCAAAAATTTGGTGTTCAGTAATGTGGTTAGAAGAAGATGAACTGTATCTATTTTCAGCACTTCGAAACTTTCCATTTTGGAATTACCCTAACTTATTTGAAAACCTTATTAAAGTGATAGAGCATTTCTTCCAAATTTTTCGGGTCAGCGGAAGATGAACCCTATTGATTTTCAGTGCTCCACAACCTTCTGTTCTGGAGTTACCCTTTTTGTCTGAAAACTGTGTTAATGCAATAGAGGCTTCTGTTTTTAACAGATTTCTTTCAAATTTGATGTGAAGCATTGGAATCAGTAGAGGATGAACTCTATCAATTTTCAGTGCTCCACAACCTTCTGTCCCTTATCTGAAAACCTTGTTAATGCTATCGCTTTTAAAGGATTTTTTTTCATATTTGGTGTGAAGCATCGGGGGCATTTGAGGATGAAATCTATTAATATTCATCACTCCGCGACCTTCAGTTCTAGATTTACCTACCTTATGCCAAAATCTTGTGAATGCAATAAAGTACAATTTTAACGGATTGCTTTTGAATTTGGTGTGAAACATTGAGGTCAAGAGAGGACTAACCTCAGTGATTTTCAGTGCTTCGCATTATCTTGGTGTTACCTTCCCTTTGATGATTGGAAACCTTATTAACGCGACGATAGAAGCTACAGTTTTTAACAGATTTCTTTCAAAATTGGGCTTAAGGGTATTTTCATTTTTGCATGGCTATCTTAACAATTATGATTGCTCATGTGCTCAGTAGCAACACTAGGTTACGTGCTTAAAGTGCTGTTGGAGTTTTACCAAATTATCAGATATACCTTTTAGTAGTATGATGTTGTGCTTGTAGGGTTTGTCAAGAACACAAGATGGACTAATTATAGCTGAAATGGATTTGAATTTATGTCGTCAGGTGAAAGACAAATGGGGATTTAGAGTAAGTATTTACACATTTGTATTTATACCACTGCTTTCTGTATCTTTAATTGTAACATACAAAAATTTGTGTCATGGTCATACCTTTATGATTTCTGTTGCATTATAATAATAATAACTAGATCTGCTAGGCAGATATGAAAGGTTTCATATCTATTGTCATCCCTTTCCATTGTTATTGATCTGGTCAAGAATTGTAAAGGGAAAAGAATTATTAACTAAATTATGGTTTTCCATTAGAAATTGAGACCCCTGATTGATATCTCTGACAGTTTTTGAGATATAGGCACTAGGGGTAAAGAATAATATCAATAATAATTTTAGTAAAAACAATAGTCTATCAGACGAAAGCTTGAAAGCCTACATTTTTGTAATAATTATAACTATTATAATAATTAAAAAAACCAATAAGGTTTTGTATGAAATATGAAACCTTAAAGATACATTCCTGGGTACAAACTGGGTGATTTGATGATATATTTGGACTAAAAACATATTCAAACTAATTAATTTATCATAATTGTGCTTCAAATTCTTCTCAAAGCACTGCAATTGTCGGGGAATACCCTGGCTATAAAAAATAGATCAAAATAGGTCATGTTTGTGTCACTTACCAACGGAGGCGAAGTCAGAGGAGAATTCATTGCATACACAAGACGATGTTGTCTTTAATCTTTTATTACAAATATCAAAGCCTAATTAAATTATCAGATTATCCACTGCCTGCGACTTTTTCCGTGATTTTTATCTCAGAAAGTGTTGTACGTCTAATTGTTCATAAAGTTTATCAACATGTACATCAAGCGCTCAATCTCAGCGTGCAACCTTCGACGTCACGCGTGCAGACACTCCTAATCGTCGGGGAAACCCTTACATTTTTGTCCTGATTGCGCTCCATGAGTGTTTTTCATTGAATCCAGTATTTTTCTAGTAAGATTGAATATTTCTACTTTCCATATATACCAAAATTGCCATACTTTTATTGGAAACAACCACCCGATATTTCTGGGAATGTAGCTTTAATGAAAATAAACTTAACAGAAATATGAAAGCTTAATAAGTAATAACCAGCGGCTGCCAGGCAGATACACCCACATTTTGCAAGAGATGAATAGAGAACAAGCTAAACAAATAGAGATTTTTCGTACAATCAAGGGCCATAATTCAGGAAGTTATGATCCGATATGCGCAAATATCGACAGGAACCAAGATCTTTGGGTTATAAAGATGTATTGCAAGTTTTATCAAAATCGGATCACAATTATGACTTCTAGAGGGTCAACAACCTTGATATACCATATAATTACACTATTTGCATACAAGGGGCGGCCATTTGTCTGGCAGTTTTGGTCCGATTTTCACGAAATTCGAACTTGAGCATCATTACAGTCTAATGGTGATATACATGTATTCGAACGTTTATTTAAATCATATAATAATTAAGACCTCTAGAGGGACCACAAGCTAAAAACGTGATTTTTCGTACAATCAGGGCCCATAATCATGAAGTTATGGTCCGATTTATTCCAATATCGAAATGAACCGAGATCTTTGGGAGATAGACTTATATTTTAAGTTTCACTAAAATTGAATGAAAATTGTGACCTGTAGAGTGTCCACAAACAATATGTGGATGGATGGACGGACAGGGGCACCAACAATATAAGTCCACATGAAAATGTGGGCATTTAAAAACTTTTTTAAAGTTGCATTATTCAAGATTTAGAAAAAGAGCTGACCATTCTTGCCATAGAAGCTCAAAAATAGATAATGTAAAATGAAAAAATTGAAAATTTCATTCAAATTACTTCATTCTGAGCCAAGCTACCGCTGTTTGTAGTTTTGGCAAGATGTGTGCATTGTGGTAACCGGGACTCTGGTATATTCAAGACTTAACCTCGTTTTTCCATTTTTTAATTAAATTTTTAAATGGCGAAGCGTTCTAATCTAGTTAAAATCTTGAGTATGTGATGCCATCGAGAGTTGATTATGGTCTTGTTTTGTTAATAAATGTCTAATTAACAATTTAGATAACACTTCAGGCTTAAAGAAAGACCTGCCGTAGGCAGATTTAGCTCTTGCATAATGTATGTTTAATGAGGCTACTTATTTAGTTTGCAACAACTAATCTTCCATAAGTCCCTCCTAAGCTACAAAACATATACACATGTCTCTTTAACCAGAGTGATTTACTCATTTTAAAAATGTATCATTAATATTATTCGAAGACTGTTTTATACCTGTTTTGGTCTCTAAATGGTATATCTATAAACTACTTGAATAATTCAGTTGCAAAAAAGGTTAATCATCTAAAAAATGGCTTTTGTTATTTTTAAAACGGCAATAAAATGTAGATAAACATGCCATACATATTGATTGAATTATCTCAATTCTTTCAAGTTGCAATCTTTGTGTAAAGTATCATTAATTTTCGTCTTTTATATTCAATGCATCAAAAGCCCCATGCAGTAGAATTTAATTAATTCTGATAATTAATTTCCTATAATTAATGTCCCAGTTGTGGATCTTGATCATATAAAAAAATCTTTTAGACGATCTAGGTGCAAAATTAATTATTTCTTATAATTTATGGGTTGATCAGTATTTAACTGCATATATTTCGTTGCCTGGCAACCTACCTTTAATGTCATTTAAATGCTCAAATTACCTGTTGCTGTGTGTTTATGTTTTGCCTGGAAATTTATCTTGAATAACCTCCAGGCTCCAAGACATGGTCTTTATGTCGGTGTATGGAATTATATATAACATGGTAACCGTATATATGTTGTTCTTGGGGGCAATACTTTTCGAAAAAAGTCTTAAAGATACATTATGGGAGATTAGATAAAGAGCTGGCAGTTCTCACTATAATAGTTAAAAATCTAGATATTGTAAAGGGAATTTGCTGAAAATTTCAGTCAAATTGATCCACTCTGAACCGAGAATTTAGCGATTGAAGTTTTGGCCTAGTCTCAATCATCGTTACTAAAGTCGGTACGATAGAAAACATAGCCTCGATTATCCATTTGATGATTAAATCATGAATGAATGCTGAGCAGCAAATCGGCTCCTAATCCAGTAAATATCGCAGGGTAGCGATGACATCGAGAGTTGATTATGGTCTGGATAGTTAATTAATGTCTAATTAATAATTTTTATAACATTTCAGGCCTAAATAGGCAGATTTAGCTCTTGCATAATGTATGTTTAATGCTCCAACAATTCATATACGATTGACATGAAACTTGACATGGTTATTATTTGGACAATTGCGCATCGATTGACAGATTGTGATTTTTAATATGACATCACATTACCAAGATGGCTGCAATGATGCCATACTCAGTTCTTGGTCCATCGTACAGTGATACTTCTGTCTTTATGCTGAATTTTTTTGTGTTATTTCAGATGACCCAGAGGTTAGATATGTATGCTAAAGAACTAACAGAAGCTGTAAAACCAGATTATCAACCTCATATTATTAAAGAAAATTAAACAGGTATGTGTTTACCTGTCCTGATGAGAAAATGTTTTTGTAATCTTCCTATTACTATCCATAGATGAGAATAATTTAGTTTCCTTTTCATCTCTACAGGTTATGGAAATCTTTGTAGATCACAATTTTGTTGAATTCGATTACACTGTTTATTACTGGCTACACTTTCAACTGGGGGTTATCTTTATCAAAACAATTATCAGTTAGGGACAGTCATCAGTTTCTTATTGAAGAAGCAAAACCAAATAAACATTGCATGAATACGGTACAGACAAAAATGTCACTGTGCATGGTAAAAAATAGATTTTGATCTTTTGTTTATATTTCAGATAAACATGATTATTACCCAGTATATATTGGTAAAGGTAAAATGGAATGTATGAATTATGAATTTGGAATTATCAGTGGTCTAACAATTGATTTAAAAAAATAATTGGCGAATTTTATTTTTACATGTATTCAATTTTTGCTTGTCTAACTTACTTTTACATCATAACGTACTTTTAAAATCAATTGCAACTTAAAATCTTCTTTTAAGAGCTGCAGACATTGTAAGATTTACCCATAGGCTTGGCTGGCTGAAGCCTTGGGGGCCACAAGATCAAGGGGGCCAATTTGTGTAATATTTTTAACACTCTCATAAGCATTTCTTACACGCTCTGTAGTCTTAAACATCCTTCATCATCGCTGGTTTTGCTCAATTGTGTTTGAAACACACTTTTTATCTTCCTCTAGTGGGGGACTGGGAGGGCCTCATAAGTTGAATGGCCATGGGCTTCTCTTTATCTAAATAAGGTACTGGCTGCAACTCACAATGGTAAAGCCATTGTATTTTTACAGAAGGAATTTCTCGTCATGGTGCATTTGCATCACAATGGTCAGATACAGTTTGACTGGAAAAAATTTGCTCTAGCAAATATTTTAGGAGCAGTTATCGATTCTACATTTTAACAGCTTCAAACAATTAACCACTCAGATTAAATGATTATGCAGATATCTAAAATCTGATTTCTTGACATATTCCTATAACACTGTATTCCGGTGAGTTTACAAAAAAAATCCTCTTCCAGTAATATCTGTTGACTGGATCATTGCTTTTTGTTTCGACGAATGACCTACACTTATTTTATACAGCATTTGATTTTAAGAGAGAAAGTTTTGATGACTTAGTTCCTAGAAATAAGAATTATATGATATTTCAACTTGAGATTTATTTTTTGATGTACTTGTATAAAGAGTAAATACTTACATTCTTCCCTAAATCTAATTAATTTTATGCTTGCTGGTAAATGTGATCTGATAGTGATAATGGCCACACCAATTTGAATGTCTGTGCTTCAAGAAACCCTGTTAAAATTATGCTTCTTATTTTTTGGGGGAAAAAGACTCATTTAAAAACCAAATGTACTTGGTTCCACAGTTCAAAAGCTTTTAGTTCCAAAATTCTAAGTTTTGAAATTTAAAATTAATCATCTTTTATGTGAATTCAGTGGCTATTTGTTTATCAAGACATTGAATAACTGGAAATTAATGGCCTTTTAATGCAAACAATAATTTCTACATTGGTGCTTTGTGAAAAATACAATTGTTCTGTTATTAAATTTACTACTGATATATACAGTATTATGTGGTTTTGATAATTATGTTTTGTATACTTCATGTAATCAGTATTATTATATCTATATTATTAATAGTGCTTTAATTAAATATAATTGCATAATGCAGATGCATAATACCTCCAAATATATTGTTATACAATCAAGGACCCAATTCTAAAAACATTGTAATGATTAGTAAATCATTTTATTAGCTTAAAAAGCACACAATCTGGAGGAGAACTATTGTGCCTTTATTCTAATAAACGATAAATTTTATTTTAAACAAATTATGTTTTTGTTATCATGTTTTCATCACTTTAAGGCTTTGGTCTGTTGATTACAGTAATTCTGAATTCTATGTACATACCTTGTGGTATGGGTCGTTATCTAATCATCCTAAAAACATCAGCAGGGGACCTCAACTTTGATTAGATCGGGCATTGATATTGTGTTGTTGAGTTATCCCCCTTTAGTCTTCAAGTGCACTAGTAGTGAGGTTTGATCATTTTGAGACTACAAACATAGACATTTCAGATGCAAGTCCTCGACTAACACAGGTCTTTTGAATTGAAGAGAATGCAATTTACCAATATAATGACTGTATGCATGCTCTATTCGCAACAGTAGGTATACATCCATTTGTTATACTCGGTTTGACACTGTAACATGGGGAGTGGGGGGGGGGCGCACTACCAGAAAATTTAAATTCTCAGAGTATAAATGCAGGATTTGGGGCTTTATTTGACGTTTGAGCACAAATTGCAACATTGGAGAATTAGGCTAGCTGATATTATATCACACTATTTGTAGATGTTGTTGTATTGATGATAAACATTTTCTTGAAGTGGTTCTATACTATTCTAAAACTAATGAATGGGATGAAAAGGTCTTATAAGGAGAACATGATAATCTGAAGAGTTACTGCTCAATTCATTTGGTTTCCACAATATATATATTCATTAATATGTCAATGGGACAATCATTGGTGATCTGTGGCCTGTCTAATTACGTCTATTCAGTTAGCTACAACATTGTACCCGCATCCTTTCTTATGTGCAGCTACAATTGATACACTATTCGAGGCTTTGAAAAACTATGAGTATTTTCTATGCAGTTCACAGAACTCAAATATTTCCTTTAACTTAATAAGAAAGAATTTTTAATTTTGGCACAATTTCACAGGCATGTTGCCAGAATACATGGGATGCAAATAAAAAGGCCCTTCGCTGATACCGTGTGTGTGTGAAATAGTTTTATTTAATGTCTGCTTCCACCAGAAGTTTAACCCCTATATAGGACACAGCTCACCAATTATTCCTACGCCGTCTTTCTCCCCCTCCTTCTTTCTCTTTTTCCCCGCTTTGCATGGCGATCTTTGTTGACTTTTTGGTGTAGAATTAATGAAAAGGGTTTGAATATACATTTTCTGCCAGGTTTTTGTGATTATTTATGATTTTGAGGTGGAAGAATACAAGAATTAAAATTGGTTAGGTTGTGTATCTCAAGTTTTTCATGATGAACCTCATACATGCTCTTGGGCAAGAGGTTGCTACATGTTGCTCCATCTGTGGTAGAAAGCGTTCTATGCAACAAAAATTTGGGAAAAGGTTAGAGACGGTCTAATGGGGAAATCATTGGTGATCTGTGGCCAATTACAAGAGCCATGGTAATGTAGAGTTATCCCCCTTTAGTCTCCAGTTGGCTTTTTGGTGTAGAATTAAAGAAAAGGGTTTGAATATACATTTTCTGCCAGGTTTTTGTGATTATTTATGATTTTGAGGTGGAAGAATACAAGAATTAAGATTGGTTAGGTTGAAAGGTAGGGCGGAAAATTGCATGTTATTTGTCTCTACTTCCAGCTTGTGTATCTCAAGTTTTTCATGATGAACCTCATACATGCTCTTGGGCAAGAGGTTGCTACATGTTGCTCCATCTGTGGAAGAAAGCGTTCTATGCAACAAAAATTTGGGAAAAGGTTAGAGACGGTCTAATGGGGAAATCATTGGTGATCTGTGGCCAATTACAAGAGCCATGGTAATGTAGAGTTATCCCCCTTTAGTCTCCAGTTGGCTTTTTCTCTCAACATCTTCTGATTCAGTCAATTACTGACAGTCAACTACTGAATTGAATATTCGCCTGGCAGCTTTCACATCATCAGATTCAAACAATATCAATTTTAACAGTTGAAATTAATAACATGGATATACTAATGGAACAAAACAAACATATCTGCCAACGGAATAGGGGACTTAAAAAAAAATACATTTTTATTCCCAATCCCTTTAGCTATCAAAAACGCAACACCATCTGATTGGTGTGAAATGTCATTTATTAAATTAATATAAATGACATTAAATTGTTGGGTTTTTTTTATTAAAAGGTCAAAATGTGAATAGCTGCCTTACACCCCTTGATAACCAATAACATAGACCGGAGAGATTTTGATTTAACAGTTTTTGTGTATTTTTGAAACAGGCTTCGAAGCGTTTTGGTTCTGTTATGCAAGATCATTTTCGACGTTCCAAAGTAAAAGTTCGGTGCTAAGACCACCTAAAGATAAATTTTAAATGTTCCTATTATTAATTAGAACAGGTTTCGCTTTAGTTTTTAAATTTTACGCTGACATTTGTTACTTTAAATCTTCCTGGTGCTAAAACGGAAAATGTGACCTTTTGACCTCTGGGGTCACAAAGAACAAAAGTGAATTTAGCGAGTTTGCATTTTTATTGAAAGTGTGATTACTTTCGATCATTTTCAGCTTATTTTCATGATACAGGAATGACCGCGCATTCACTTTCAGTGCAAATGAACCCATTTGACCTTTGACCCCGAATATCTCGAAAACGCCCCAACGGCGGACTGATTACCACTCGGCATCGTATTCTACGCAAAATTTCACTCTAGAAAAGTTGGGTCTGGTTTTGTGCCTATTTGATGGACCCCCCCCCCCCCCGCGCTAAGCCTCCAGACTAACAGTGGTCTAACCCAGACCCAAATTCAGCCACAAAAGAGTAAACGATGCAACTGACGAGTAAAGAGGTAATTGTCCATTTAAATAGTAGACTGAAACTCACAAGTCACTTTTTTTACCATTGAGAGTATTGCTCCTCTTTAAAATATGACTTTTTTTGTTCCTTTCTGTTTATGTTCTTTTTCCATTGCCCAATATTTCATTATCGAACCAGGGGCCACGGTGGCTAAGTGAGTAAGACACTGGCTCGCTAGCCTGGAGTTCGCGGGTTCAATCCCGGTGTTGGCCGAGAAAATTCATTGGGATTTTCGAGCGTGGTTTCCCCTTGTCAGTGGTGCAGGACGGAGGGCCTGACGAGGACAGCTGTCTAGTCGTTCGGATGGGACAAAAAAAGAGGCCCCGTGTACACATTGGCGTGCACTGAAAAGATCCTTGGCAGTTGGAATTCGATATAAGAGTAGTAGGCCACTGTACGGGCAAAATTTCCCGTATGGCATATGCTCGTCTTCATTAGCCCCACAAAGCATTTCTTTCATTCTTGTCTCCCTAGAACTTTTGATCAGTTACTTTTGATCAGTTTTTAATGTCTTGTAAATGCTCCCATTAACCACAAAAGTATATGTGATAACCCTTGTTGACTACACATACACCTATGCTGCTGGTTCTTTACCTGGCAAGCTATTTTTGTATAATAATGTAATCAAGATATAGACCTAATGGATGCATTTAATTATTGAATATAACAGCACAGAGCAAAGCATTATTAAGTGTTTTGGTCAACGATTCGCAAATTGTATCAGTGAATTGACTGATTTGTCTGACTGGTCACATACTTTGTCATCTAAACATATCAGACTAAACTGCGTAGTCAAGTGAAAAAGGGGAAACCTATTGCCAATCACCTAAGTGAATTTCAATATATCTAAGTAATGAAATAATAATAACAGCAAAACTAAGACAGTCCTGAAATTACGTCTAAATTTGGTAATTCTACTCCTTTTTTAATTTGTACTGTTGGTTTTAGTTTAATAATAATGAAAATAATAATAATAAGGACTGCATTTATAAAAGTCTAAGGCCTAAGGCTTTTTAGAAATATGTACATACTAATACTTTATTTATATACAGTTTCTGAATGAATGAATGAATGAATAAATGCATGGATGTAAAAAATAGATTCAAACTAAGAGATGAATTAATAAAGTACTTTAAATGTATGAATTAATGACAATTACACACAAATATACGATTATTATTTTAATACAAAAAGAGAAAGATTATTAAATATTTAATATATTAAATAAGTGAACATTTAATGATATGTCAAACAGACGTCTTCTCATCATCACGTTACATACATTTACTTCGTTATCTGTTTCCACAATAACTGAGATAGAAGCACTTTACTTTAATTACAGCTGTAATGTAAATTTTAGAATACCCTTCAAACAAATAATGCATTATAAAGTATAGAATGTTCTCTAAACAAACTATGTTTTATAAAGTTTAAAATAACCTCCTGTACCAGAACGTTTTTTCACACACAGAATTTACCCCCAAGATCAAAGTAAATTGACGCCATACTAGGTTTTATAAATCTAAATGGAGGAGGTTAAGATTATATTGTATTCAATTGCAAAGGGAGAGAGGTTCTACATAGGCTTAGCCTGTTACCCAATCCCATTCAGACAACATGAATAAAATATTGTTTTAAAAGAAAAAAAATGCAAATTTTACAGAACTAAATATTCGGGCTAAATAGATCTCAATCTAAGCGCATTTAAGTCTGTGCATTTATTTAAGTAGATAATTAGACTAGTCTACAGTTATTCTTAAGATTTATTTAAAGTTATTGTTCCCCGCCTTTCGAAGAAAGAAGGGGACTATTAATATGGGTTCGTCCGTTCGTCCGTCCGTCCGCCCGTCCGTCTGTCTGTCCGTCACACTTTTTGGGACACAATAACTCTACCTCTAATTGAGATTGAATGTTCAAACTTGGCGTAGGTGTTTATTTGGTCACTGCCTTGATAGAGTTCTAAGATGAGCGTTTTCTGCTTAGGGTAAGCAGAGATAAGCAATTGATAAGTGAGAGTGATGAAACTTGGTGTATAGTTTCATTACATCAATACCTTGACTAAGTTCGATAATGAGCAATCTCTGCTCAGGGTTAGCAGAGCGATAAGCAATTTGATTGGCCGAGACTTTGGAACTCAATAACTCTCCTTCTAATTGAGCTAGAATGTTCAAACTTGGTGCAGGTGTTTATTAGGCCAATGCCTTGATGGAGTTCGATGATAAACATTGT